ATAGATAGATAGATAGATAGATAGATAGATAGATAGATAGATAGATAACTTTATTCATCCCCAAAGAGATATATACATATTCAAGAATGTGAATCTGATCTGAATTTTTGTTAAGTCATGTGTGGCGTTTGGAGCTCCACTTCAAATTGTAAAGTCCCACAGGACATGTTGTTATGAATATATAAACTGTTTTCTTCCTTTTCATCATAGTTTTCATCTTTGCTTCTGACAAATCAACCACTTCATGGAGCAAATACTGAGTTCTGTATTTAGTTTGTCTGTAAATCTTTTTGCTTTTCCTAAAGAGGGTTTTTGCTGATCCCTGACAAGCAGGCTTAAAAGTGTGTGCCAGTGTTCTTTGAATTCAGAAAGGCTCTGCACCTTCTGTTTGCTCATTTCATCTTAGACTGACTGGATTCTTCATCTGTTATCAATATCGTTATTGTTATTTTTCTGCTTAACCGTTCTTCGGAACTGGTCATATCGGCATTCCGGTTGAGCCCGATAACATCCAGTGATACTGGATTTACCTCACTGCTTCGCTAAGAGACATTGTAATTACAGTTAGCTGACACAATTTGAAAACACCCAGTATTTGAGCCATTGATTGGATCCCCTCTTTGCAGCATTTGTATTTATAGTCCAGTATTTTTCTTGTGAACATTACACATACAATTTACAAAAGTCTGAAGTATAAAATGTACACAGGGTTTTTAAAATGACAGGACGTTATCGAAAACTCTTCATCACAAATTTACTTCTGGTACTGTACTTCTGATTCTGGTTTAACCGTGGAAAATAAAAATGTCTGATGACTGTTGAGGAACATTGTTTTGTGAAGATACACCTGATGAATTGATGATGTGTTATTTAAGATTGGATGACAGTGAGCCGTTGAAGTGGCTGATGATGAACAGAGCTTTGGCAAAAGATCAACAAGAAAGAACTCCCATGTCAAACCCGCCATGTTAATAGTGATGTCACTGCTGTGGTCCAAGAGCTGCTAATCAGTCTATCTCCCAGCAATGAACCCAAAATGGAGCCTAAACAAAAGCCAACCAGCAACATCAATAACTTTTTGACTACAGGCCTTTCATTCATCCATATCACAAAAACCAACCAAATCTTTTCTTATTACCGGACACCTTTACATTTGTGTCAAACTTTCATTTGATCTCTCCCTATTGGAGAGGGGTGCTGTATTAAGAGCAAAAAGGTGTTGGTGGTGAAGATGAAATTTCAAATTGCTGCTGCTAATCCTTGCTGATAAGAGAAAATACCGGCTGACAAGGTGACTGTTGGTCTGAACAACACACAGCCACAACAAACACAGAGAGCTCCTTTGAATCTGCTGTCAAACTGCCCTGTTACTTCAAAACACCAGTGCAGAAAAATGAATATTTTTTAGAGGGCAGCTAGAATATATTAGCACGAGGGGGAGTAATTACCAGAGCAAAGTGAGGTGAGCGATGAGTATATATCTAACAATAACCAATTAATCCATGATTATCTAACTGAAGCTCTCCGGTGGATACGGGGGTCTATTTGTTTGTTTGTCTTGACTGGATCATCACTGGGTTGTGTAATTAATACAACTGCTGACAGAGCTCGGTGTGATTAAACCTAAACTGAACACAGCTTTTCAAAGGCACAAATGTGATTCTGAGGCTGGTGAATGCCCGACAAATACGTCTCAGCTTCAGCTGATCGCATTTTGTGCCTTCAGGGACCGCGCATGTGACCTTTAACCCGTTACGAGAAGAAAATGTTTGCCTGTCCAAACGGATGAAAGGCCAGAAAAAATGAGCGGCGTGCATATTTGGGAATAAATGAATTTGAAAAAATCCGCATCTAGAGCTACGATCAGCGGATGCACACAAGCCCAAGGACAGTCATAAAGAGATATTAAAGCTCTTACAAACTCCTCATAACTCCCAGACAAATAGGGCTATGCATTACTGTCCGACTCTATCAAAATGTTGCACTGGGGAAATAAAAACAGACTGTTTTTCAGGCTTGTCTTTCAGCTAATTAACCAGAGGGAAATCAAGCCGGAGGGGAGACAGCCCCTTTCAGCTCGCCGCGATTCCGTGCAAAGGAATCGGTCGAATATTAGGCCATCACCAAGTGAGCCATCAACATGACAAATAGGCAGCGGGGGAGAGACAGGAGGGGGAGGGAAAGGGAGAAAAGAGAGGCACTAATTGGTGGAGGGTATGTGTAATATTTAATATATCTGAGCTGCTTCTGTGTTTATGTACTGAGGATGGAAATCTAAGCAGGAACACTCTTGTGTGTCGGCTTCTGACTGCCTTTGTGAAACAACCCACTCTCGATCCCTGATGCTGTACATGTAAATTGGAACAACTGTTTCTTAAGGCAAAGTGTGTTTTTTTTACTAAGGCAAGAGACGATACCAATTCATCCATGGCTTACAGACTTAAATTCGACAGTTCGAATGGCTATAGTCGCTAAGTATAGCCTTGTTCGTGTGACAAAGAAACATCTGGCTGTTTTCTGTTGTATCCTTTTACAGGGAACTCTTCTACTTATTTCAGAACGAATGTGCAGACAGGCCCTAACTGTTCATGGTTAAGAGATTAGCTAAGAGCATTCCATACTTTAGCACTGAATTTCGGAGGAGCTAAATGTAAAAAAAAAAAAAAGGTAACCGCTAATATTGACATCACTTTTACCTCAGTATTTTACTACACAACATGGGCTATGTTTGTCAAATTTATTCAATGTACACATGAGGCTGAAGAATTCAAATAAGTTACCTTCTAGGGGAAAAAGGCATTTTGTTACAGTTTAGTCTGTATGTATTTGTATGCTTCATTAGTAAAGGAGATTACATGAAGACAAATGTTTACTTCTTGCACTTCTTAGATTGTAAGTCTTTTTGTTTTGTTCTACGTAGTGTCAGAAACCATGACAACCATGGCCATGTTTGAGGACAAGTTCAAATCAAGATGTCTTCCTGTCATTTTTTTCATCATTGTCGAGCCTGTATCGTGTTGACAACACTCCCATATCACATTTATAATGACAAGAGTTAGGTTTGTAGTCCCCCTCATCTTTTGAAGAATCAATTTTAATTTTCAATACAAATGGACTTTCCTCTTTTAAGTATCTAACTTTTGGCTGTGGTAAAATCTACTATATTAGCTGGAACACACGCTAGCCCACAGATCTCTTGCTTTAGTCCTTATGGTCCTGTTTATTGTGACCACAGCGACCCGTGGTGAGCCGCGATAGCAAATACCGTTAAATAACAGGACTTAAAATAGGGCGGCCATAAATGGAGATGCCCCAACAAACTAAATCTGCATTAATGGCTGCTTTTTGCTGTAATGGATGTGTAGCCCAATGAAAAGCTTCCACAGACACCCTATAATATCTACCTACATATACATTCGGTATATGTCTCAATTTAAATATGTATATGGGTGTTTGTGTGTGTGTTCTCTTGCAGCTACGATATAAGAGAGGAGGAAAAACCAAAAACAGGACTCTCTGTGGCTTTCCACACTGACGTCACTTCTGTGTGAGAGGTGTTTATGCATGTGTGATTGTGTGCGGGTGGGAATGTGTGGGCCTGTTTATGCAAAGCAGTGGAGATACATGGTATGCCAAAGTGAAATTATGTACGTGTGTGTGGTTTTACATTTACTCACACAGTGCAGTGGGCTCACTATAATTAGGGCTGCTCCACACACACAGACTTTATGTTCCATTATTCACATCGTTCTCCTCGGCAAATGTGCAGGGATGATAAACAATGGAACAAATGCTACCAAGTGTACATATCAAAGATGAAGATATGCACTGATAGAAATAATCGCTCGATCTAACTATATATGCAAAACAAAATTGGATTTTGGACTTTCTAAAGTATGAGAAACAGTGACATTTTACAATGTGAATGCAATAAACAAAAATTGCAGAGGGAAAAACAGCTTACCACTACCTAACTACCCAATTACCCACTATTACTCTTCATTACCACGCCCACCTAACCCGTTATTACACAAAAGACCATTTCCAGTTAAATTGGTACAACGCGTAAAATGGAAATGAAAACGCAATGCCAAGATTTGCTTTTCTTTTCAACCTATATTCAATTGAACACACAACATTTAATGTTCAAACTATTTTTTGTGTAAATATTCACTCATTTTTTAATTTAATGCATGAAACATATTTCTAAAAAAGCTGGACTGCTCCCAATTTACCACTGTTTTACCTTAACGTCCCTTTTTAAACGCCTCAATAAGGATTTAGGACGCTAACTGTTACGGCTTTGTAGATGGAAATCTTTCTCGTTGTTGCTTGTTGTATGGATTCACTAGACAGCCTGTGATGTCATTGTTATTGATTGTGCTTAAAGTTGCACTTCATTTTTCTTCTTTCCCCCCCTTTGTCTGTGTGAGTGAGAGAGTGGGAATGTGCTATGGCGACTGTGGATGGGTTGATGTCTGGTACTTGGTTGATTGGGTGTTCGGGGCCTGGCGGGGCCCCTAGTTCCTGGGAGCGGGGTCGGGTTAGGGTTAGGGTTAGGGTTAGGGTTCTGTCCTGGGCCTTCACTGCCAGCCTCTGGATAGATGTCTGTTATCACTGTGGATTCCTGATGTCTGGGCTCAATGGGGATCCTGTTGCCCTGGGTTTTGGAGGTCTCCCTGCCCACTTTGGGTCCATGGAGGTGGCCCTCTGGACCCATTGGAGCACAATTCAAGTCAGACCTACACTACTTTTTGTGCATATTCATGCGCAAACACACACTTGTGCTCAGAGTATATTAGCCTGTAGTTTTGTACATTTGTATAAACAGTCTTGTTCCATACTCCTGCTGCTGGTGTTGTCTCTATTTTTTCCCATTTGTTTAGTTTATTTGCAGGTGTTTTCCCCTCTTTCCCCATGGAGGCCATAGGAGGATTCCGGTAGCAGCTGGTTGTCACGTTTTGCATCTCCGTTTCTTACGTCCTTTGGACTACTTCCACTGGACTATCTACTCACACAGTGGAGTGTTTCAAAGGTGTTTTTTTGAGTATTGCTCAACTTTCTGATCTTTCTGTCCTGTGTTTTTTTTTTTATCTGGGAAGTCTAATGATGGAAGTTTACCAGTTTCAGCATTTAATGTTGTGTTTTTTTGTGTATTCAAATGGAAATATGGCTGGGTTAAAAGGGACAACTACTACATGACAGCTAATAATGCATTACTAATTGTTGTGTTGTTATTGATTGATGAATACTTTAATGATCTCTAATGATCTTTAATGAAATTAACTTATTTATCATAAGTAAGAAGAAAACTGCTGGCACTGCACTTATCTGTGACTGGAACGGGTTAATAGCCAGTCATGATGTTTTTTTCTCAATAAAAAAATAAAAAAATTCGGCCCGTGGAGCCACAAAAAATTTATCACAGAGATTTTTTTGGGGGGTCTAAGTTTCAACAATTTGAAAACTGTGACGACGTTTGTCCAAAATCAGTTAACTCCCAACTGACCGTCGGGCCTTTTATCTGTGCTCTTTTCAAAAGCCGGCGTCTGTGATGGAATGGGGGTGCGGTGGGGCCCCTGGAACTAGCAACTTTCACAGGCTGAGAGACGCTCCTCGTGCTGAAAGGTATGCACAGTTTTCAGAGTACGCTCCCATCCATCCGTTTCAAGGAAAACCTTGCACATGTCAGCAAAACTGCGGTTGACTGCTTTGAGTACTTTATCTGGCAAGAATAGGATAAACTATGCCATCAAATTCAGAAAGTAAATATATTTTTCATGATACAGTAACTGTTATAGATACCATAAGGGGCTATGGGCATATTTTTAAACTTTTTGGAATTGATGATGTCTTTATGCTGGGGAGTTTTCAACACTGCAGCCTAGAGGTCAGCACTGACTTGTGATTGGTCAGTTAGCGTACATTACCTCTCAGAGTATTTGTTCTTGACAGGGATCTCTACATACAAAGATTATAGCTGCAGCAGTCAGTGAAAGTAACAGAAATTGTTATGTAGCTTCTTCTATTGCAAACAATATACTGTATGTTGAAAACCAACCACTCGTTTTTTAACTGTCACTATTAAAAACAACATAATGAAGTCTAGCTGGACTAGACTAGCTGGAAATTTAGATATGTTCATGAAAAGAAATAAAACTGAATTGAAAAATAGTAAGTCCAACAATCTGATTGAGGAGTGCTGTATTGTGAAAACAAAATATCTATTAGTTAGCAAGGGCAGAGAGTCTTTTTCTAGAGATGCTGCAGACTGAATACTAAATGTGAAACAGTTAGATTTAGAGGTATAAAAGAGAAAAAAAATGACTCCCTGAATGTATCCTACTCCCAGGAGCAGCTAAAAGGCCTAGCCCAGCAAATCCTATAGGCCTTCTGAGCATTACAGACCATACTGACAATATCTTGTGTCTGGTTGTGTGCAGCCTTGCGTAGGTTTTGACATAGATTGTTAAAGAAATTCACAACTCTGCCTCTGCACAAACTGGACCAAAAAACCGGCTCCAACGTGAAGAAATAATTCATTACAACAGGCCAAACACGTACTGTAAAACACTCTATATTGTATTTTTTGTTTTATTGTGGGAGTAAAGAATTTTCACAAATGGTATATTTTTTAGCAGATAAATTTAAATTATACATTTGTTGTTCAAACTTTAATACATCTGAGGTTGCTGTGAACATTTTAAAACTACATTGATTCTTAGTTTTGGTCCTTACCTATTTTCTCTAACTAGGCCAATCGATCACACAGTACATGTGATCCATATCCATTACAGGAAACATCCAGTGCCAGCAGGAACGGATAGTAAAGCAACTATTCTGAGTAAAAGCTAGAGTTCTTCTGATAACTATGGTTATTTCAACAAAACCTCAGACTGAATTGGATCATTTGAATGTCCATCCATCCATTTTCTATACCACTTATTCCCATTGGGGCAGGGCCACACACACACCAACAACCACACACTCACATTGACTCCTCGGGGCAAACTGAAATGGACCAATTACAACCTTTGATTAAAAAAACTAATTAAATTGGCCTTCGATACTGCTTAACACCTTGACCTGATCTGAAGTTTTTTCCTTAAATAGTTTTTCTACTACTTTTAGTCCATCATATTTACATCTAATATTGTTGAAGTTGTTTCACACTTTATGTTGGTTGTATTGTGTTTCCATAGAATGTTTGATACTTCTGTTGTTTTTAACTTGTTAAATTTCACTGCACAACACAGTAAATTCAGTTCAAGCTGTTTTAAATGAGAACCGATGCTGAAGACGGGTAATATATAAACAGCACTGCATGCATTACTGTAGCTTGGCCCAGTGTTTCATCCTGCTTACCAACATGTTGCTAGCAGCCGTGGATGAGCAAACAGTAAATAGAAGCAATAAATCCATCATCAGATCAGCCTTGCCTAATCGCCACCATCTGGCCCAGTGAGCGGCCTGCACTGAGATCCTGGTGGGGAAGAACTGTCCCACTGCAGTATGAATGCTCCTGGCTGAGATCTCAGCTCGGGCTGTGTCAGTGTGGAGACGGCATGGATCCCCGAGCGCTGTCTTTGAAGGAGCACACTTTCTTCCACAGCAGTGAAGCACAGTGATTATCTGATGTCTCTAAATTAACCGGAGCACTGATGTGGGACTTGTTTGTGGCCCTGCGACTGGCTGCTGACCTTTCTGTGGTGCGTCTGCCTATCACTTGATTATTAAATGGCAAAGAACTAAGTAAATGCGAGAATAACAAGGGCACAGAGACTTGGAGCCTGACTATCATAAATTTACAAGAGTATTCTTTCAGAGATTGTAACTAAAGTGACAAAGGAATCATGCTGTGACTTATTAAGCTCTGCGGCATGCTACTGCTCACTATCCAGGTATTATCCTCCCAAAAAAAAAGTTTGGACTGACCTTTTTGCTGCAAGGAGGGGGTGATACGGGGAGGTACAGCATATGAGGTAAAAACAAAAGAGAGAATCTCTCCACTAATTTCTTTGGGAAGCCAAAAGGTAGATGCTAGCAGGATGTAAGACGCGATGGTCTTAATCTGCTGGTGTTGGCAGGCTGCAGTGGTCGTGCTGGACTGAGCTGGCCGTGCCGGAGCTCACGGGTCAGCACATCGTTAGATGGCTCACACAGCTGGCCGCTCCCGCACTTCTTCCGGAGCGAAATGTCGTCCTTCGTCAAAATGATACACCCCTCTCTGAGTCACACCTCAGCCCACAGACTACTGCTGACTTACATGAGGAGCTTCCTTTTTCTTTGTTCAGCTTTCCGAAACTTATTCAGTTTTTCCGAGTACCAAAAAATATATTCGTCGACACATTTTTAAGCAAATATAAAATTTGGGAAACACTGCGGGCATGTTTAAGCATTTTGTCGACCAAAAGATGAATAAGGCTGAAGGAATCATGGTGAAACAACCTTATAGTGTAAATGAAAAATCAATTTGAGATAATATGGACAAATGTGGGGAATTAAATGTTTTTTTGACTGACCTCATTCACTGTGAATTTTCAACATGTCAAATGACCAACAGTGAGCTTGCTATTCTCATCTATTTGCAATTTATTCTAATAAAGTGTCTGATTTGTAGGTCCTACATCTGTTGTTTAGCTTTGTGCTTAACAAACAGGGCATTGGACTCAGCTGATTTCAGAGCATAAAAGACGGTTAAATAAATGTATAAAAATCCAGCTTGCTATTTAGTAGCTGAGCTTTCAGAGGTACTCTGAATTCCCACGAGCTGAGTTCAAACGCCAATTATTACATTTCTAAATGGATCTTGTGAGGATATATTTCTTGTGAATGATGACAAGAAAGACTAAACTTTTATTCCTAAGCTTGAGGGCATCGTGAATGAGGGTCCCTGTGAAGAAATGACTTTGAATTTACAATTTTGCAGTAAAATCTGTCTTTCCTCAGAGGCTTTTAACTTAATCTCGCACTTAGGTAAGGAATATCATTCTAGTCTGTCGTCATGAGACTATGCTGGTAAATTCATATTAAAACTTTAAAATGAAATGATACCATTCATTCATTCATTCACCCGTTTGAATGAATGAATGGAATTCAGAAATTCCAGCTGTGGCCTGAGAGGTCAGTACCTGTTCAGAGGTGCTGCTGAGCTTCTGCAGACCGTTTTCCAGCCGCTCCATCTTGGTGGTTAACTCCGTGCTCTTCTGATCCAGCAGGCTGCGATAGAGCTTGATCTGCTCCAGGAAAGACTTGGGTGTGGTGTAGTTGTAGCGCCTTTCATTAGCCAGATACTCTCTGGATGTTTGATTGACGCTCGTGTGGACATAAGCCATGAATTTGCTCACTGACTGCTTCACCTGAGGCTGCGTTAATTAACAAAAAGGTACAGTACAGGTTACCAGACATAAAAAAAAAAAAGCTGATTGTGCAGATTTAGCGGCAAAGATGTTTCCTGAGGCTCGAGGCTGGGGTTTAATTTGTTGGGCCTTTGGTCTTTTCCAACAATTGATTTTCAAATTCATCGTGTCACAGTCATTAACGTCCTTTGTGTTGGGGACCTCATCTCCGTGTGCGAAACGCACGCCGTTCTTACCTCTATGCATTCCACCTCCTGCAGGAACCTGAAGCTGACCGACTCCAGCGCCCCCTGTGGCCACTCGTGGAACCAGTCGATGGCCGTGCAGTTGACCACGGCGGGGAACTTCCTGCTGCGAACTCTCAGTTTACTGCCCACTGGAGAGAAACACAGAGCGACCTGCATAGCACACACACACACACACACGAGTCAGAGCGTTCGTGCACGCTGCAGATGTAAACGACTGATGGCATCGGAACACATTTGCAATCATTAGTAGATCAAAGTCGCGGTGTTTACTCATTCAGGGCGTCTAAAGTCCCAATCAAACTGACGGGAAAGTACAAAAAACTGTTAAGATTAACACTCTTTTATGGTCCAAATGGGCCATGTAGGACTGTGCATTAATTATCTGCCGCTCCATCATTAAGCCCATAAAGCTTCCAGCGAGCATGTGAGTTAAAGAAGTGTGCTGAGCTGTGGGCTATGTCAGACTGATTTCCACTGCTGGAGACTAACAGCTGTCTCGTCGAGAGGCTCAGCCAGATGCTCAGTGTGATTAAAACCCAGAAACAAACACGCAGAAGGCACACCCAAAGACACAACTCATGCTACTAAATCAAGAGAGAGAAAAAAAAGCTGCACACGGAGGCGTGCAAAGGTCTGAGCGACTCTCCGCTTAAAATATCCATTCCTGTGAAGAGCTAATGAGCTGAAGATGGGTTACTATCCAAAAGTTAAAAAAAAGAAAACGAATAAAAGGTTAAAGTGCAATTCCCTTTGTTGAAATATCGTTTATGGTTCAAAAGTAATTAGAGCTGAGGACAAATGCAGTTAGTGCAGATGAATACCACTTTTCAAAGGATCTAGAATTTAAAAAATGTTGAAAAGTGAACTGCATACAGGGTTTCATATCTCCATCTTTTATTGGATACATTTGTAAGTCTGGACCTAAAACATTTGTATTTTTTAATTGCCCATTCCATTGGCAAAAGCTCTCTAATTCTGTGGGATATTTTCATGCATTGATTGTTAATTTCAAGTATCTTTAGGTTTGATCTATTTATTTGTCTCTTTTTTTATTGAATTTATTTTTTACTTGACCAGTAAAAACATTCCTTGTGCCTCCAGCTGTAACACCAGCCCAGGGCATGAGCAATCGAACCCTCTGATCCAGATACATTTTAGTCATGAAATGATTCATCCTCATTTCCTCATCTACATCCATTTGCTCATTTTGGATGATAGAGTTATTTTTCCCTTGCCCGGCCTTTTCGGCTTGTCTACGTTTCTCAGGGGTGGACCAATCCGTCACACTGTCAAACTCATAAAACTATCTCCAAAGCTTTTTAGCTGTCAAACAGAAGATTTGAGTTGCTTATCTCCCAATCTATGCATACGCCATGAAAAATACTCCTGTCCTTCTTAACATTGCATAAAATACATTATCCGCCACACTTTCCATGAATTTTTCTGCATTAATAACACCAACGGGGGCTCTGCGATGCGGCCGCATGCCATCACACGCTCTGATTTCCTCCAGAAAAGACTGAAAAGAACAATTCATCTGAGCACAAGGCATACGCAAAAATGCCATTACATGCCAATATGACCCCATCTAATATCATCATTAAGGTGAATGCAATAAGATCCTCCCAACAACAAACAAGGCCCCAAAGTCCTAGGGGCAACACCCTTCAGGACACCTGTTGTTTTTTGATCATACAGTGACAGGCCACGCCTCTTCGGTACAGGATGAGGAGAGTATACTATACTAGCAGGTAGTCTTTTTGTTCTGTCACGGTTCATCCAAAAGCTTCCTAACACAGAGAAGTAGATACAGAGAAGTAGAATTTGCCCGTCCACGAGGTTAAAATTAGGCTTCTAATATGGCTTCTTAAGCCATCTGTACATGTTCTTCTACATCATCACACTGTTGTCGTGGGACACTGAAAAAAAAAAATCACATTTCACCTCTTTCAACATATCAAACCCAATCACTACTACAAAACTAATTCAATTATGGCCAAGTTTGCCAGCGTGAGCCCAACTTACAGTGCTTCATGCTAAAACACAGCCTCAGCAGGTTTATACAATAAATGAAGCTAGCCAGCAATTTTTGGAAAAGTGCTTCTTTTAAATAGAATTTTGAAAGAAAAACCCAAACAATCAGACAGCCACTCTTTAGGAGAGTGTGCCTGCGGGATTGCCTTCCTTATTTATTTAGTCTCTGACCCACTGAGGCTTGTGCTGGGAGTGAGATGGGGGTGGTGGTGGTGCCGGTGGTGGTGTTGTACGCTATAATAATGACAGGATAAGCAGTCCTCCAGAACCTCTCCATCCCCCGGGCGAACAAAGCAGCTACGTGTTGGCGAAATTATCTAAAGCTAAACGGAGGCATTTCCGCTCATGCCGGTGATTCATAATGACGTCCACCGCCTCCCAATGTATTCGAGTTCATCTGAAACTGTCAGCAAAGAAAATTGTCTGGGGAGAGGCTCCAATATAAAGCCAGATGCTTATCCATGTATGAGGGGATTCTTTTTTATTTAGGAATGGTAAATTAAAGTGTGAGGTGGCAAGCTATTGCTGTATTAAGAGAGGATGGAGATCAAATAAAAGCCACAGCTCTGTGAGAAAGATTAATGATACACTCTACCCCGGAAGATAGCCACTGCAAACGTCTATTTATGAAAGATTACTTGAAAATTCGCAGTAACAAAGCGCAAGCTGGTCTCTGTTATACGTGACTGCTTCACCTTGAGCTGTCTGCGAACGCGGCCAATGAAGAATTTCCAGCAGTTTTCCCTCGTATCCATCAGTCCTGAGCTGCGAACTTCTGGCCTCATGCTGCCAACGATGTTCTCCACCTCGTCACTGGGGAACAGCTCCGAGATTTCTCCTGGAATTGATCAAATGAATCCCATTACCGTGAGACCACCGAGCTGGGTGAGGCAGAAGACGCTGCGTTTTTTTCTTTTTTTCTTTTTCATTTTATCTCCAAGTGAGTCATGCTCTTGTGAAAACTCTCAAGAAGTTTCTTATCTTGTCGGAATCGGAGCTGACACAGAGCACTGAGACTCTTAAATCAAATCTTGGGCGAGTTAATAGAGGTGGTGGCTGCAGGGGTTCATACGGAGGACTTATGCTAATGCGGAGATCTGATTTGAGTCGCAGCCTCTGATTTAAGGAGCAAAAGAGCAAAGGAACGGGCATGTCTTTGTATGTGTGCACGTCGAGTCTAAAAATGAGCAATAAGTCTGATGTAAGTTTAGGTGCTTGTGATCAAGTGCTCTTTTTTTTCATCTTTACTTCACGATATAATACCTTCTCCTTCCTGCTTCTTGCTCTTATATGGTATTATTGCCCTCATAAATGATCCTCGCAGGGCACACATCTGTAATTCATATCATACTGCCATAATCTTTCAGGAAATGTTAGCAAAAATTTTAATTCATAACTCGGTGTCAACACAAAAAGACTTTTAGCGCAGCATAATTCTGTTTATAATAACATTATATGGGCAAATATGCTAAATATGTATATGTGTTGTGAGCATTAAGTGCACGAGCAATGAAGAAATTGGTGAATTAGATTATGATTTAAACATACCAACATACTCCATGAATGCTGAACAAATAAATGTTGTTTTGACTGTTGTCAGCCACTTTGGCCAAGAGAGACAATGTAACAGAAATAATAAAATGGTTCCTCCGTGTTTCGCAGTTGTTTTGAGTCAGTTGCATTCATGATATCATCACTTGGCAACCTAATGAGAGCAGATGAAAGGGAGATTCTTGCGGGAACCGACAGCCTGCGGGTGAGGGAGTGTTTAAAAAGAAACAATCTGTTCGTCTGCTTACTGGCAAGTAACTGCTGCTGCCGGACCTATGACACAGACCTATGAATCACTCAAGTTAAAAAAAGGCACCTAACTTAGGGGACGAATCAGTGATGTGTCCTCCCCAAACAACAAAGTAAAAAACTCCCTTTCAAGGTATCATAAGGCACTTTGATTCTGGCAGCTACTTCCAAACTCACAGCATATATATATGTATGTATGTATATATATATATCCATTTATTTTGTTTCATAATGCCAAAGATAAACCAATTGACGGCAAAAAAACTGGCAACTGTTTTATTGCAGAGGTGCTATTAACAGAGAAACTTGCCTTTTTTGAGCACTGTGTTTTGTGTGACCTTAGAAATATGAAGAAAGAAGGTGTATTTTGGTCTCAAAAAGAAGAAAAAAAAATAAAAAGTGCGGAAACAGGACTTGAGAGAGGCGTCTGGCCTCTCAGTAATTTTTTTATTCAATGAAGGGCTCATCGGAAATGGTTTAAATGGAAAAGTAGCTATCAAGGAGCCAATCCCAAGGAATTTAAATGGGGGGAATAGGCCGAGGTATGCCGCACAACTGAATGTAAATCAGTGGCAGGTCTGATCCTCCCCAGAGCCCAGACATCTACATTATTCAGGTAGTGTGGAGTCCTCTTGAAAGAAAACGGAATACAAAAGCAGGCAGTATCCAAAAAAGAGCTTTGGGATGTCCCTCAGGAAGCCCGGTAAACTAATCCAGAACACTACCTAGACTTGAAATTACACAAAACTTGAGGAAGGATCAGATTGTGGTAAAGAATATCGACATTTTGATGCTAATATCTAACCATGGTTCCTTAAACCACCTGGAAATATGGGAAAGAAACGGTGGCTGGCTCCAGACTTTTGAGTACCCTGGAAGCTCCTGACAAATAAATCGGCAAAAGTTTGATCTATCTTATCATTCATTAGGTTTTTTGCAAGTTGTTGGAGGTTGTATCATAACAATGAGACCATGGGCCGTAAAGGGTAAAAAGCTGTTATGGTGTGCAATAGCTTGTATTACATTTGTAATCTGTGACATCCTAATAAGGCGCCTAACTGCATCTTGGTGTATCACAATAAATCCAGAAGACTCGTAAAGATAATGTCTAATACAAAGCTCTATCTTTATAAGCTGATGGTCATACTGGAACATTTAGTGTTGAAGAAATAAAACACCAGTTGTATGTGTTATCATTTGTAAGTCTAACCTCAGGGATAAATTTAGCCTTTTTAACAGTGAACTCATTTTTATTCAGATTTGCAACAGACACTCTTTCAAATCTGCATTTGATTTGCAGCTATGCTTTTCTTCTTTTCCTCTAACGCTAAGCTACTGAGCCGATATTAGTACGTCTAGATCGCCAAGCGTTGGATTTCTCTTTACAGGAAACTGTCTCGCATTCGTCGCTTTATATTCGCTCCCCTAAAATGTAAAAAAAAAAAAATGAACCCAGGCGTGACTGTCAGCCTGGTGTGCAGGTCCACACAGTGTGCTGGAGTGGATGAGTAATGCTGCGGAATGGCACTGCGGTGATTTGTTGCCGTGGCAAACCAAAACCCTTCCCCTCTCGCAAAAAAAAAAAAAAAAAACGCGGCACGCGGTAATTAACGCGGCCGGCTGTTACCCGACGCCAGCAGATCGTTGACCAGGACGAGGAACTTCTCCTCCGCCACTTGAGCGTCGGTCATTAGGAACACGGTGCCGGTGTTCTTCACGCCGGCTTTGATGTAGAGGGAGGCCAGGTCACTCTGGGGGTCAGGGGGGGAGAAAATGAAGAGAAGCAGGAGAGTGACACGCATAATGAGAATGGCTGTTATGGACCAGAGATTCCTTATTTTTTTCACTGACCCGTCCTTGGCACACTGCGTGGACTGTCATTAATATACTGTAACAATCATTCTCTCTTAAAGGGACCTGTAATTTCTAATTTAGGACATCACCTGGCTGATAAAAACCTCTTTTTTATCTAGAGTCAGGTTCTCCAGATGGATCTTTGTACTGCCGTATTCTAACCTTCAGGTCAGTGATACTGTAGCCTTTCCTCAAGGTGATCTGAAAAACCTCCAGATTGGAGATGAAGGCAGCCAGTCGGGTCAGACTCTGCTTGCCGCTTCCACCCACTCCGACGAGCAGCGCGTTGCCCCGTGGAGACTCCAGGATTCGGTTTATTCGGCAGCTACGTGTGGAGGAGCAGACAGTCGGGGCAGGGAATGAGGAAGGAGAGGTGTGAGGGTGGAATCGGTGGACGGGAGAGATAAAAAAGGTGGGGGAGGAGAAGCTGGATGAAGACGCGTCTGACTCATACGACAAACAGAAAAAGACACACGAAAAACAAAAACATTTCTATCTGGTCTCGTCTCCTGCTCTTTCATTAAGATGTGACAAACAAGAGGAGCAAACGTTAGTCAGAATTGCCACAGACTCCGGAGAACCTTTACGCCTTCAGCGAGACCAGACTGTGTGCGAGTGTTTCTTCATTTTAAACAGATGACGGCATTTTCTTATCACTTCTGCTGCTCCATTTATGTTGCTGAAAGGGAGAACCGACCAGCGGTTCAACCGCTCAGACGAATCTGAGTTGTTTTCCTCACATTCAGCTCGGATAATAGTTTGAATTCCATTGTGTACCGGTATTAGTTTAAACGCTTACGATTCTGGCTGTTTGAAGAACGGCTGAACAATTTTCAGGGCCTCCTCATCATCTGGCATTTAGACTGCTTACAGAGGAAACCAAGCAGTAGCCGATATTTTATCTTTTTTTTCCGCTTTATCTGCTTTCAGTGTTAAAGGTCACATTAGTTTTTCTCTGTGATTCAGCCACAGAGAGACACTAAAGACCATAAGAGCACATCTGCTTTCATCTATCATTTCTAAAAATGTTCAGAAAAGCGCTTCAACAGTTTTTTTTTTTTTACAAACCCAATACCAAAACAATGCAGTAGCTGTAAAATACTCAAATAAAACAGGATCCAACAATTTGCAAATGCCGTAGGCGACCATATCCTTTATGGTAGAACATAATTATATCAAAGATTCATAGTGTGGCGTTTCTATTAAGCATAGAAAATATGGGCTGATAGTCATTTTGATGGAGAATGTTCACCACTGCACTTGAACGGTCTGTAAATGGGCATCAGGAAAGGAATGTCGAGGACTCTGGCTTTCCAGCAATCCTTGTTCTCCTGCCTTGTACTCTGTGTCTGATGTGCTAAAGATGTTCTTTGTCAAGAAACCCAGAATCTCCAACTGGGAAGATGTAGCTGTTGGATTTGATGCCGACTAGATGCTGGTAGATAGGAGCATTTCTTGCTATGAAAACACACCTTTCAAGATCGATGCTGCCTTCCCAGATGTGCAAGTTGCTGTTTCCATACTATTAGGGATGCAGAATTTTGAAAAGAATGTTCCTTTTTCTTTCCAGATGACAAGATTTGAAAAAATCTAACTTCAATTCATCTGGCTAAAGAACAGTTTTCCACTTTCTTAGTCCATTTCAAATAAAGCTTTAACTCAGAGAGGGGGCTACCATTTCAAAATCATGTTCATGTTTGTTATCTTTTTTGTCCAGCTGAGCATTTTTGGGTGACATTTCTTTCTTCGGATGTGTTTCTGAGTCCAAGCAGGATTGATCGGCATCATTTTCAACCACTCTACCCAGGTTTAATTCTGAGACTATGACTTTAAGGTGCTCTTTTTAATACCGAGTCATATCTTTAAAGGATTCAATTAGACATAACATTTTTTTAAGCTATTAAGCACTTAAATGAACCACTTAAGTACCCCTGTGCACACACTTGTATTTTCTTGTATTGCAATCTCCTGAAGTCTCAAATGTTATCCTTAATAAACTTAATTATAACTGCTCAATTATAACTTCACCTGTGAACTCTTACTGGTAAATTCGGCAACTTTATAGCTATTTTCCTCCTTGTGTGAAATAAAAGGGAAGAATTCTCTGACAGTAACCTAAAACAGAACCATTTTCAGATATCACCATAAAATCATGGAAAGTTATCATAATTTTCTTTACGTTTATCTACCAGCTGTTTAAAAAAACATTTCAATTAGATGTGTTGATGACATTAAATTCAAAACAGGAAAAAGATGGTAAAAACTCCAACTTTTATCACAATGTTTTTTACATTGATATATATTCTAAGCTCCACTGTGAATACTATGTTGTGTAAGCAATTTAAAGTTATTGCATCTGTTTTTATTTTCAATTTACACGGGTTCAAAAATGTTTTTGGACCTGGGGTCTACTTCTAAAACCCAATTCCCCAAAACGCTGCATTCTACATTTGTAATGGGTTTAAAAACACGTTTGTAATAAGTTTAAAAACAAAACAATATAGTTTTTTTTTTAACTGCTGACTAAGTAAAACATTTTTAACCAATTTCCTGAAAGCATCCATATTTACAAAATACTACTTTACGGCTGATTGATTCACGTACTGTAATTAGCAAGTGTGCAGAAAGGTGTTTATATCGAATGTTGCCTGCTATTGTTACTGGGTTTCTATCCTTTTGTACTGTAATGTCATGCTAAATAACACTTCTACTACCTTGTTGGCCCAGACAGACCTCTAAATATCGAAAACATTCTGCTGGTGCACTTTTAATTGAATCAATGTCTAATCCAAAATTAGAGATTACTTGAAAGGACATAGATTTTGCATTCAAACAGAGTGAACATTTCCAGAATCAAAAGAATGCTAGCCCTGCAGAAATAGTGTTTTTTTTCCCTGAGTGACTTTGTTTTAAACGTGCATCATATTTGTATTACATTATTAAGATAAAAGCTTTAACTTCAACTTCTTTACACTCTCATCAAATAAAACCATGGCCTTCAAACACATTTCCTGACTATGATTTTTTGGAGTAATTTTTTTATACAAATCAACGTTATGGATTTTCAATCTCCTGAAGATAATTATCTTCCTTCAGGACAAAAGTTTATTCTTATTTAAAATCAAATTGGCACTGAAATTCTGAAAAAGAATGACAGATAGTATTTATTCGTTAATTTTTTGCATCTCATCATAATGCTGTTATTGACAAATATCGTGCAGACAAAATCGATATACCCCTGTGAAAATAGCCGTTTGTCTTCAGTCAATAAATGAAACACTAACTGGCCACTTTAGAAATAAGCAAGCTTGACTTGAAATGACTCAATTAATCCGGATCTGGAGGGCGATTACGTTTTCATGGAAATTCAACCAGGTTTCAATAAGATGTCGAAGATTGCTTATGAATAAAAAGTCTCATCAAAAAGCGCGAAGGTTTACTGTTATAAACCACTGTGAGAAAGAGTAAACAGGATTTTCATTAGTGGGATAAGCCTATAGACCCCTTGGAATTTTTTTTTGTTAGTATTTGTAGATGAAAACTAAAATTGTCATCATCCCAGAACTTCATTGGACCCAATTAAGACTATCAATACTTCTGCTCTTGACATTCTCTGAACATAGAATATATCGTGGAAGTTACAGACAACAAACGTAATGAAAAATCTTAAACGTTCTTCCCTCTCTCGGGTTTCAAACCTCCACTCACATGTGAGCCATGGCGTCCTCGAACAGCACCAGGTTCAGGGTGGCGTTGACCTCATTGTAGCTGTCCAGAGCCTCTTGCAGGGTCTTACTGAGGCTGCTCCATGACTCTGCAGCCATGTACCTGGCCTCCCCCAGCCCACGGGCAAAGTGGCAGTACAGGTTCATCTCCCGGCTCTGCTCTAGGGTTTCATCCATGTCCTTGGGAGGGGAAAACTCACGGCAGTCAAAAACATAATGACCAACATACAAGCCCTGCCAGCGTTACGTTAATGTAAGCCCTAAACTGTCTAGACGGGGACACAGTTCAATATCACAGCCGGGCAAAGGACGACCTACTCCATTTTCATCCTGGCAACTGCTGGACACTAAACACTTTTCTGTTTATCTGCCTCTTAGTGATGAATATTATCTAGGAGTACTTTTTTGTAGTTCAATCAAATTCTTGTCTAAATCAGGCTCTGACATTTCCTCATTTTTGTGATTTCAAATAAGCTTTTTTTTACAGTGCAAAACCTCCACAGACATCCCTACGTGTTAAAAAAAATGTATGAAAACATGCAGCATATTGCTATGTGCCCCAGGGAAGGGAGTGCACATGAGCTGCAAGCAGTTAATAATATATATCAAGGAGTGGACGGAATGATCCTCTCTTTTCTTCTTCTCCGTCTGTGGCTGAGCACCCTACTTGTCAGGCTATCCGCTGTGGCATGACTTACGCACATGTGATCGAGCCTGTGAGAGCAGTGGGGAAGCAGCGGACGGGAAACCATTAGAATGTTTTCCAATTTGCCAGCCTGACAGTGCGGACTCTGACAAGCAGACCGCCAAACCTCGCTGATTAATACCCCCACCCCGCAACTCTCTGCTGGCCCTATGCCCTCGTTTCTACCCCTAACATCCCCTCCTCTCCTCTCCTCTCCTCGCTGTGTTGGCCACTGATGACCAGGTCCAGACACAAAGCGGGCAGTCTAATGATTCAACCCCCGCACACACACGCACACACTTCTTCCACGCTCCCACTCTCGTCGTTCTTGGCTGAACTTTGTAAAACTCTCACCTCGAAGAACTTTTTCACTGTGTCTGCTTGCAGCTTATCAAAGACCTGGATGTCCGGCTCCTCCACCAGCTTGTCTCTGTAGACCCTGGTGGACTCATGCAGGTAGATTTTCAGCAGGTCCGCGGGGGCTTTTAGACACTCACCAGTACAGAAAAGAATGCCCTGAGCACAGAGAGGAGAAAAAAAGAAAAAAAAAAGAAAACCTACAGTTTCAATACAGAGGTTGATTCGGCCCATTTACACCACAACTGGGAGGAAAATACAGCACAGTCACTGTGGATAAATCACCGAGTGGGCAGGTTGTTAGTAGGTGTGACAGAAAATCTCAGGAAATAAAAGCAGCACTTTTCTTCCATCTAATTGCTACAGAAGTATTGCTACCATGTGGAGAAGTTCAGTGGGCAGGAGCTGGATGGAAGGCCCACTTTAAAACCACAGAAAGAGTCTGTAAAAGCCGGAGAGGCTTTTTCAAAAAATGGTTCGTTTTCAAACAAGACTGAGGCTCTTAAATCCCTTCCACTGTAATCCCCTGTAATTCATGAGAGACTTTTCACTCGAGTATTCAGATTTTGTTGTTTCATGTCGCGCCATAAAAAAAAACACATGCAACTGCAAACAAGTCATGTACCGGTACTTTACTTCCTGCTGCCGTCTTACAGAGCATTAAAAAATCCTTATTTTTAGGTTGAAAATATAACTTTCAGTTGTAAACGCAGCTCATCTCCTCACTTTACAAAACTATGTAGCACTCTTCAATAAGAGGTACTTTACTGAGCAATAAACAGGCACCAGACGTGAGAGTCTCAAAAGTGTTCTGGGGAGATTTCTGGGAGTTATTTGTGGGAAACAAGACCATTCTATAAAGAATGTGTCCCACGGATTATAAATGTCCAGATATCCGACTCCCAGACACTTCAAGACATCCTCATAAACTAAATAAAGGTTATTTTAGGGGCTCAATGAGAAATTATTTAATATTATGCAACATTATGCCAGAAGCGCAATCTGTCAATGTTGTTCTAATGTCGTTAGAATGTAGACCAAAGCAGATATGGCACAAAGACAGCACAGTTTGACATTCCATGGTATTCGATTGAAGATTTCGAACATCATAATTACTGTTCTCTGGGGTATTCCAAATCAAAAAAATCAAATGGAGGCTGGAAAAAAAAGCAACTAAAGATCTTACAGTAAAGCACACAAAGTCTAAAAATGATGTCCCATTTTGGGGCAAAAACATCTTTGTGCCCTGCATATGTTACAAAGATATGAGTTAACCGGCTGTTTCTGAGGAGATAAACAATAAACTCACAGAATGCCATCTTTGTAGATATGAAATATCTCTGATAAACCTAAAAATCTGCATTTGTTACATCCATTGCAATCTTAAAAAGTTCAGAAAACTATAGCTCTTACGGTATTGGAAGTAAAAGTGTCTGTGTTTGCCCACTGGGGAACATAACTCGACATACTGACAAATCCATTAGGTAGTCAAAAAAACAACAAAACCAGCCATGTTTTTGACTCCATGTCATATATAATTCACATTCGCCTCTGACTAAAAAAAGCAAGTCATGACGGAGAGCGGATGAGCTGTAAGTGGATGATTGGTGATTAATTTGTCTTTCGTCCAGCCCGGTGTGACAGGGAGACTCTCTCGATCGGGCGTGGATGATACAGGCAGAACTTGGCAACGTCGAGGTGCATCACATGAAGTGCGTCATACGGAATCGAAAAAGGAGACGGGGAAGGACTGCGTTTGTTCCGCCGTCGCACGGGAAGCAGAAACCAGCGGATGAGTGCTTCCAGTCCCGATATCCATTCTAAATAAATGTCATCTCTGGGGTTAAACCCGGCTGAACCCTTCCCACCTTCATATTAGAAGCCGCTGAATGTGACAATTGCCTGCTAAATCCACTGTGTAATTGGCTTACGTGTGGTTTGTTGTGTGTGTCAATATCTGTGTGGATACACATTGATGATTCAAAATGAGCGAGGATTCTCAACACAAAAGTCTAGATTCTTTTTATGAGCCTTTGAATAACGTCATATTTGGATTTTTCCACGGATCTGCATCTTTCTACTTCATTTCGCTGCTTAATGGTGTCAATCATGACACCCTGAATATGTTATTTACGAGTGAGGCTAAGCAAAACAAAACACCATATGGCACTCTAACTCTATACAACAAAGATGCTCTCAACCTTCACCAGTTAGAAAAAATCAGCAAAGCTTGTAGGAGAAAGAAGTTTGCTGCCTTCCCATCCATCGAACTTTAGCAGACTATCTCACTCTCTCTATCCCTGATCTTTCATTACTTTGTTCAGCTCAGAAGAGAGGGATTAGAGTTCCGTATCTGTCTGTCTGAAGTGGGCTCGCTTTCCTCCTGGCCCGACAGCTGCTCTGAGACCCAAACAATCCGTGCCCCTGCTAATAAACACACCCAGCTGACTATCTGCCGAACATCATGCGGACATATTGAGCAGTCAGTACGGTTTGGTTTCGGTCTCATGGCACCGCGAGTCTGGCGCTCTCTCTTCTCTGGGTAGTCTCGGTCCGGCTCGTTCGCTCTACCCGTACCCGTCCTCATCTCCTCGCGCCGCTCTTGAGTGTCTGGGAGCTCATTTAGGCTGACAAGCAGAAGACAGGCCCGTGGATACGCCCGCCGGTCATAGCGGGAAGAGAGCGCTGGAGAACAGAGCTCTTTGACAATGTTCCCTGTTGGATATCAAACTTGTTTGTCTTACAGTATTAGTAGAATTTAGCTATTGTACTTCGCTTGAAGCATGCTAATTTATCAAAAGCCTGTTTGGATAAACAAGAGTGTTGAAGGAAAGTATGAGGGGAAAAAGACGGGGTGCGACGTGAAAAGTTATCAAACAAAGCCAGGAAAGAAAAAAAAAGGCTGGCATTAGCCCCCCTATTTTCTCGTTCAGCTAAACTTCCTTAACTCCCCAAATATGTATGCAAATAACAACACCAAAACTAAACATCTTTTTTTTTTTGGACTCGCTTCTTTTGTCACATTTAATAACAGCTTTACAGAGACTGTTGCAAGCTCATGCAGAGTCTCTGAGCTCAGCTTTCTGGCTCATTAGGGTTTATTATAATGAGGTGCTTTCCTTTGGCAACTTCTCCCAGTCACAGGAAAAAAAAACACAAAGAAAATCACAAAAAGTACTCCAATTATTTCAGCCGAGGCAAACTTCTGAAACATCAAGCCAGCAAACACTGACAGACAAACGTTTGGGCTCCATGCTCAAAATTAGAGGAAGCATTTGAACTGTCAAAAAACATTCCAACATCTGAAGGTGGAGAGACAGAGGCTCAAAATGGGAATTAAAGCTGAGAACAGGCGGTGAGCTGAGGCCATTCTTACCTCTTCCACATGGTCCTGAGTGCATAAGGTAGAATACAAAACTTCAAATGAGCTCTGAAGACTCGCTTCTAGCTTTCTTTAAATTCTCTCTATGAGTGGAGAGGAGGACATATTTGACATTACCTCTTGTTTGTAGCTCTGGGGTGTCCAGTCTCACTATCCAGGCCAATTATAGAACACACAAAGACTGTCAAAGCGGGCAGAATCGTCTCCGGAAACATTCACTTCAAAGTTTTACGGCGCAGGTGAATTCAACACTTTTTGAAGGCGGTTTTGTGTGTGATCACAGGCTTGGAATGGAAGCTTTAAATTCAGGACTGGCCAATGGGATGGGAGGAGAGCTTAAATGTTTAAGTGCAGCAGACTCAAACTTGCACCAAGTGCCTCAGTATGTATAAAGTAAAATGTCTAAACTCTAAAACTACCTGTTTTTTTTCTTGATGAAAAGCCCTGATTCTCCTGTAGTTTTCCTATTTTTTAATCATGAGGAATCTATCAATGTTTTACTTACTTTACTAAGAACTACCTATCACTACTACCTCCATTAAGTGGTCATCTGCACCTTTTTAAAAGGGGGCCCTTCAGCAGTTTGTTCCTCTGGAGCTTTCAGGTGTGTGTCTTACCATGGGGCAAAAACCTCAGGTGGATTTTAGAGAATCACGTGTTGTCACGGTTGGGAGGGTGAGCGAAATTGTCTTTCAGGTTGGTGGCTGGAGGGCGTGGCGATCATCTGCCGGCTCACCTGGGAGGAATCAGGCCATTCGTCGCCTGATGCTCTAACGATCTGGCAGAACTAAAGCCAGTTTAGATTCTGGAGACGAGGTCTGATCTTAACTTTGTTTCCCCAGTTAGCTCCTCTCGTCTCCCGGGCTGCCAGCTTTTCCTCGCCACCGTGGGAGGTTCCCGTCACCCGCATTCCTCCAGCGAGCTGTTCAGCCTCAGAAGCTGTGGTTTGCCTCTGAAATTCAGCCCTCCTCGTCCTGCCCGCTCTCCATCTGCCTCAGCCCCCCCCCCCCCCCCAGCTACACTCACCCTCCTCAAGCCGCTCCTCCGAGTCTGTCTCCATACCAGCTGCCTTACCAGCTCCGTGACTGAACTTTCCTATTAAATCTCTCTGGCAAATACTCAGGTTCTGGGTGTGTCTATCATTCTACAGAGAGATATTTTATATAAGTGGGAAACATCTTACCTCCTGAGACCCAAGCTTTTACTTGTTGTGTGTTTATGCCCAAGATATCTGGGATTAGTAGGACTTAATAAATTTCATGAATAGACTTTGTCATGGTACTGGTAGTTTTTCTTTAGTAGTTTATATATGTATTTGAAATGTGTATTTATGTCATTAAAAGTTTACTCAGAAATGTGGTTCTAAGGGTCAAAATGTCTTCATTACAAGATTTTAATAACACAATAAGAACGTGATTGGTTGAAAATGTGTAACATAATTTTATTTTAGATGAAAAAATGTTGTTTCTGATAGCATCTACTATGAGGCTAAGCGGTCAAAGTGTCATGGTAAAGAGAGGCAAAAATGCAAAGTCCTCATATGAGGATGCGGGGACTCAGGAGGTTCAGACAGTTCTCAGGGAGTTGACGTCACAGCAAGTTCACCCCCAGGTCAGACTGTGTTATAAAATCTGACTTGTTTGGAAGGGTTGGAGAAGAAAGCCTCTCCTCTCAAAAAGAACATGGAAGCACAGAATAGGTTTACAAAAGTACAAACCACAACACAGCAATAAATCTGCAACAAAATGTCTGAAAAAGTAAATAATCAGTGTTTTGCAATGGTCCAGTCAAAGACTAAATGTTATCCTGACTGAAACAGTCAGTGGCAGCCATGTATGAGCACATGTCCAAAAAACCTCAATGAACTGACATAATAAAATAATGCTGTAAAGAAGAACGATTTAATATATATATATATGTTTGTACTATATGTTTTTCAAAAAGCTACTGTTTTATGTGTTTTGTTCTTCTGAAATGGTATTTACATCATTTTAGGATCAGGAAATGGAAGCCTGATGATTATTTATTTATTTACTGCAGAGGTTGTTTTTTTTCTAATGACTGTATGTAAAACTGATTAGTTATAACATTTTTCAAGGACTAAATACCTACTAGTGTGGTGATACATGTGTATGTTCTCTACACTGAAGAAAATAGTAAGAACTCAGGGTGCAGTCTGTAAACTCCTAGATGGAATAATGAAAAATTAAGTTCCTGTAGCTGAGTGGCTCCAAGCATTAATTATACAATAAAGTGTGTTAAATGAAAGAGCCTGCCCTCCATTAAAACTGTGGAGGATTGTACAAAAATATTGCTCCAAAAGCTTCTCCCTTGACAGCCATGGTGCTCTGATATTATATCCATTTAAATAGTTTTACACACCCATGGAAAATTAAATCTATTATATTGTCTGTTACACATATTTCAGACTTATTTCCAGCTCTTAAATCAATAATCACTTGGTTGAGAAATTAGTGACAGAAGCCTGGGGAAGCAGAGCAGCTTAAGAAGAGAGAATTAAAGAGAGGGTCATGTGAGAGAATTGTTTTTAGCGAACTTTTTGACCTTTCATTGCGAGAATAGGAGCCTGAAAAGATGTGTAGAACACCGAGAGGGATGAATACACTCTGCGTGCATCTGCGTGTCACCTGGAAAATGTTGGACAGGTCGCGAAGGTTGAAGATGTAGTGGAACTTGACGGCTGTGGGGAGGAAGGTGGAGGAGATCTGCTGGTGCAGGGCCAGGGCCAACTGGACGAGGGTGGAGCAGCTCCTGTGCAGCACGGAGCTGAAGCCCTCCCTCCTCAGGTGCTGAGACAGAATGGAGCTGTAGATGGTGCTCAAGGCCTCGACTCCGGGAAACGACAACGCAAAGACTGAGAAGTGGCGCTGCGGAGGGAGGGAAGGCATAAATATAACAAGAGTAAACATCTTGATATTAATCAATGATGGCGAGAGGCACTTAATCAGGAGGGTTTGACTGAAAAAGGGAATCTGTCAGCCACTATTTGAACCTTGAAGCAATTAACTGTCCTATAACAAAGAACTTATTAAAGTTTCCTTACACCTGCAGTGTGTTTGCTAATAGCTAAATATTGAATTGTGCCACTGAAAAGAATCAAAGCTTGTGCATGCTAATAGTTACAATTCTCTCCCAATAAGTAGTAAAAAGTATCAAAAGGAAAGCAGTGAATGTTTGGGAAGATAGAAGGCAGGACTTCTCCTAAGTTAAACATGCTGCTGAATATTGTATATTCCCTGAAGCATTAAATGTGTGTTATTCCACTGCTGAAAATATCTTTTAATCCCCCGCGAGTCAAAAATATGTTCTTTTTCTCAAGAGTCGTGAAAGCTTCCCCATGTGGAGTTACATGTTAGGGATGGGGGTTTTTTCTTCCAAAAACCCTATATCGCAGCTTTTCTGTGAGGGAGAAGCAGTGGATGCCAAATGCAGGCTGTTCAAAACAAGTGCTGTGTTTACCAGGACCTTTCAAATGGGAAGATCATCAGCTTCTGCTCCACCGACCTCTACAGACCCATCTCTTCATTTCAGTCTTCCCATTTTTAATATGGTGTTTTCAGTTTAACTCCAAGGTCTGAAGGTAGACTTTTATAGAAGACATGAAAAGAGTGCTGGCGTCTAAGATTAAGGCCACGGAAGATCATGGTGGTCATCTGCCCTTCATAAAGTAAGATACCTGCAGATCACTGAGGATTCCCATTCTTAATACCGTAGCACTTTGTGAAACTTCCTCTCCACTGCAATCGTGTACTACTGCCTTTTCAAGCAGAACCCTGGCTTTTCCCTCAGTGATCCCTGATCTGTTGGACCCAGGTGGAGTGACTGTACATTAGAAAGCTGAACAAAATCTGTGGGAGTCAAGACTAATTCTCTCTTTTTATGGAGTCTGCTGGTAAATGCAGTCCTGAAAAGTGTCAAGTGAGAATTTCACCCTGTTCTCAATAAGGTTAAAACACTCATACGTTTCATTCTGAGGATATTTTTCATGTCTCAATCTTAGCCGGGCTAGAAGCTTTGTCTCCTCAGCGACTACTCTGACCGCATTCCACAACACTACACTTAAACATTGTCAAGTGTGAACCAATTTGCTTTTTACCAGCACTATTTTCACATATTAATGTCTCATTACTCCAAACTGAATCAGATCTCTTTGAGTGCAGTGCTAAGAGCCTTTTCCTCCAAGACACTATAATGGAAGGTCTCGGTCTCAGTATATAAACCTTCCTACAGTGTCAGTGTGTTATGTTTTAGCGGGATGCAAACAAACCTGACTCGAAATAAATACTTTATTGTAGCAGTACTGTATGGTGTAATTTCATTGTTATTTCATCAGCAGAGAGCTGCCTCTGCTGCAAAGCCACGTGTTAAGCTTTTAGTACCATAAACCTGCAGGAAGCGCAGGCTGCCTCGCTATATACGCTTCATCTCCTCCAATATGAACCTCCCTGCTTCTGAAATCGAGAGCCACATAAACAACTATTGTAGAAAGGCTCTTTTTTTCATACGTAAAAAACAATTTTGTCTGTGATATGGACAAGAAATTAATTAAAAACCATCCTCTGGGGTAAACCAGTGCTATTCGGTATATGCTGAGTTATATATTAAGACGTTGAAACTCATTTTTCCAGATAGTTTTTTCTAAATCTAATTAGTTGTGCATGAATGGCCCCACCTTTGAATGGTTTGACTAGACATACTGCAGCAATGTATAGCATGAGAAAATGAATTTGCCATCCTGGAAATTAAAATATGTAAATCTATCCTTGGACACCTGTAAAGAGCTCCAGGTGGACAGAATTTAGTCGCATTTTGTTACCAATGTGTTTATATTAATATACAAATATATATACATTCACATTATAAAGACTCATATAAAAATAACAGTGAACTCTTTTTTCATTTATTATGAAAAATGAGTGATGCATCTGCAGTGGTAAACAACATAAGAGGTGGAGCACAATATGCTGGGACAATGTACGTGTGTGTTTCTGTGTGTTTCTGTACCTGCAGTCGTGGATTAATGGTAAAGCTGCCAGATGTGGGGTTCATGCAGGACACGTACTGAATGTTGAGTATTTCTTTCAAAAGCAGCTTACTCCGATCGTACCTGTAAAACACACACAAAAATACAATTATTTCAAAGCCTTGCAAACATACAAACTCCAGCGACCCAGGCTCGCACACAGATTCCTCTCCCTAGCTTTTGCTGATAAAGGCGCCTTAACACCCACTTAAGCCGGCGTGGTTCAGTCGCATTCACCTTCCTCTCAATTTCATACCTGAAATCCCACTGGCCTATCTCTAATGAGCTGACCGCGTATAAGCCACTCGCCCAGTGTCTGAGGCACTGAGACCATGTTCAAAATGGCCTCCCTCTGACAGAGAGATGAGCGACAAAATCCCTCTTATGAGGAGTCAAACAATCCTGCTCCCACTCTGACTTTTAACATTCATAGAAGTTTTTAATAATAAGAAAGCGGGGCTTGTATAAATACCAACCCACAGACTTCTGAGATAGATTATCCAAATTCTTCTTTTTTCAATCACCGAATCATTGCATGCATTATATTTTACATTTAAATAGCATAGGCTTGTTGCTTGATTCTACATATGATAAGTTGTATTGCAAAATACTCCATGACAGAATCTTACCAATGGTTATAGTCCATATGTTGGCGTATGAGTGTGTGAGGTTGGACCGTGCCATATGCATCCACCTCAGGCATATTCATGTCGTCTATGAAGTAAATAAGTCTTTTGCTGCCTGGAGGTCCATAGTTGCGGCCCGCTTTCTTCTCAAGGGGATTTTCCAGCACAGCTGTGTGAGAGTTGAGTGAGCAGAAATGGGGAAAAGAAGAAATTATGCTGGGAAGGCTGTATGGAAATGGCTGTTTTTATGGAGTAGTTCCAAGATGGAGCGTCTGGGGTTATTGTTTGGTTACATGATTTAAACAAAGGGACACAAAAACATTTGACTGTTTTTCCTCACCGTGTTACCTTTTTGGCTCTAAATATAATTTACACACATGAAAACTCACAGTAACGGATCATAGATATGAACAATGGGTCACGAGTAGACATTTTTCATATCATTGCTTTACAGAAACCACCTACGCAGGCAACACTTGCCAATAAAGAGACTAAAAAGCTTCTCCATTTCAGATTCATACCGCTTATACAACGTCCAATAAAGGAAAAACAAAAATGTATTTCATCATCACATACATCACTTGGCCATTTCAGAGTCAGACTTTATTTAAAATAACCAGTTCAATGCCAGACAGTAAACTCGATTATTTCAAATATCACTGCTTGGGGAAACAATCAATACAATCAAGCTTTTTAAAGAGCATTAATGAGAGACAACACTATATTTTCTACATGGATAACGATTTTGCTTGCTAATGTATATTTGTTTCTGCAGTGTATCAACACGGGTGGAAGACATGCATTGTGCCTCAGCAGAGTGCACGGATTTTGGGACACATTGTGGACAAATAAAAAGTTCTATTTTTGTGAGTTGCTTTGTTTCTACCTTGGAGCATTGCAGAAGTGGTGTAGTAGTTAAATGGCACGTTTTTGACCATGTATTTCTCGGGATCCAGCGATTCGAGCTTTTCTCTGACCAGAACGGACTTCCCGGTGCCAGCGTTCCCGACCAGCATCACCGGCCTGCGGCGCTCCAGGAGGCGGTCCATAAAGTAGCGGACTCTAATGGTCTCTGTGGTGTGAACCACACATGCCTGGATATACGCAAGAAGCATATTAGGATTAAAATTCTTACATTTTGTTATGACTCAGAAAAATAAAAACAAAATAACTTAATCTGTTTCTTTCATTTATCTTAAGCATAAGGAAAACCCAGCAACTGGGTCTGAATCTGAAACGTTCTACCCCTCTGTTGACTCACTGTTTTACCCCTGATGTCTACTCATAGTTAGAAACAACCACACCGTAACAAGATTAAGTCACCTGTTAATACAGCCATGATAACTGAAGCTGATCGTTTAAGCTTGTGTTTGGCTATGAATATTAATGTAGCAGAATGAACAACATAAGATGGTTTAGTGTTCCAGGGAATTATTCCTTCCTACAACTGGGTGGAGCGGGATCCTGAAGTGGACTCGAACCGTTACATCTGAATGTAAATAAACTCTACAATATTCTTTTTTGGTTTGGTGTTCATTTAATTCCAATTTAAGTGAGTAGTGAAGTGAGATTTTGTACATTTTGGAGTGTATTCTAAAGAAAAGAGAAAAGGTCAGTCAGTTATTCATGGTAAACCTATCTCTAGATACTGTGTTCTCTTTTCCAGTCTGCTTGCTTTGGGCTGTTGTAAACAGAACCTTTGGCCTTCAGTGTACTCTACGCATAGTGAATATTTTTATGCTGCCTATGTTTTTTTTCTGCTTTTACCAGCCAGAGCCCTAAAATGGCAAAAAGATGGACTTCCTGTTAAAAAGGTAACTAAGAAAAATATTGTGGTAAAATTATTTCCTGTGGAATTTTTTGTATTCATTTCCTATGTCATTTGAACAAAAAATATGCGATGAAGCTTTTGGTCCAATTACGTTGTTGTAGTCTGCTATTTCAATTTTAGTCAGGTGATTACTTTGTGCTCTCATGTTGGCAACAGCTGCCTCCATTATGACCATAAGTCAGGCAATGATTTCATCCTGGAAACTTTGGATTTACAAATGAAAGTGCACCTGAAGAGGCGTCTCTGCATCCATTTCGAACTTGGGCACCATTTTTGTCCATGGTTCGAACCTCTTGCTCTCCGGGTCAATGTAGTAATCAAACACGGTGCCCTGGGATGGGAACTTAATGGTTTTGAACTCAGCAACCCACCACTTGCTGAACTCCACTCTGTAGTCGACCAGCTGCATTCACACAGAGCACACACGCAGAGACAGAGTGTAGTCAATACTGTAAAATTACTTCCCCCTCTGCTTTTTCTCCTTCTTACAGCAGCTATAGATCTGTGCATTGGATTTACACAAGTGTGAAGACAAACCAGAGGACAAATAAATTCAACAATATATAGATGGTTACAGCAACTGAAGGGGAGAAAATGAGAGATGGCAGAGCCGTTTATCCATCCGTGTGATTCAGACGGGGAAGAAGAAGCCGCGTCTCCTGCTGGCTGGCAGTTCCTCGCCTTTCTCTCTACCTTCCCACCCCCTTGGTACCTGTCCCTTCTATTCACTACTGACTTTCCAGTCAATAAAACCACTTAGCATTTAAATGCATATGTGATGGGAAAATAAAGTGGAGCACATCTGTACCGAGGGGAAGGCACTTTTATCCCATAACTTAGACGGCCGCGCTTACTGTACAGCACTAACTGAATTGCTAAGTAACTACTCGCCACAGCTCTCCTGCTGATTTAAATTCAGTCAGCCTGCGTGTTGCTGAGAAAAATGAAGTCCACTTCATTTCTTGATGGGGATCTCTCCCGTAAAAAAAAAAAAAAAAAAAGCCATTTCTTCAGCCGAGAATAAAATTGAAATGACTTTTCAAAAATAGAGACAAAACATTGTGTTGCGTAAGAGCCATCGGGGGTTGTTTAATGGAAAAGCAAGAAAAGCTTTGAGATGAGATGAATTATGAGGAGGGAAAAAAAATCTTTCAGTTGTCCGATTCTTTTTCCCCTGTACGCAACCACTTAGTAAGAGTCTCAGATGCCCAGAAGCCCACTTAATACCTGGTCCTGGAACAAGGCTCCCCCAAAGGCCCAGACGGCAGCAAAGACAAAATAGAGTTCATAAAGTTCTTTGGCGCTGTCAGGTGGCGTGTTTTCAGGAGTCAGAAGACACTCAAGTAGGTAGCACAGCATCTGAACCAGACTCTGCTCGGGGATTGGGATGATCTTCTTGAACCTGCGCAAAGAGATTCATTTTACAGCACGTAATCCAAAATTCATCTATGATGAAGGAAAGGAGCAACTGTGAAAAAGGGAAGGATAAAAAAGGGAGCCCTGGTTTCATCTTCTGTCATAGTGTGTCACACATTGCTCTGCATATTTAACAGAACAAACCCAGCTCCTTCAGACCGCAGAATTTTAATTACTTCCGAGACACAGGATGACAAATATATGAGCTGTGATGCAGTGTTGCATTTTTGGATTTTTTTTTTTTCTATGTGTGTTACCCTGACTACAATACATTCCTCCCTCGTCTGCTTCCTGTTGTTGTTTACTCCATCACTAATGATGATGGAGGTGTTGGAGGATGCGAGCGATCCTGCACAGAACGTAGGATGGCATTCAGCTCTTCTGAGTCAGTCTGTTTGTCCCGTTCCAACACACCCACTTATCACAGTTCCTCTCGGTTGTGTCGCATCCCTACATCCTGCGTCAACAACATGTCAACAAGCCCTTCCTGCTTCCTGTCGTGGTACAAAGCCATTCAGGGGCCGCGTTACCTTGATCTGAGGGCGTCCAGACAAGAGGGAAGATACTTGTCAAACAGTATAGTCAGGTTGGCTTTCTCTGATTGGACGTTTCTCTTGTCAATCCAACTGGACACCTGTGGGTTCCAACCGAGATCAGCTGGATTTATGTAAAGGATGCCTGAAAAACAAGAGAGTTAATTGTGAACTCTTTCACATGCTCGTTTCGCCACAGCGTGTAGCAAACATGGAGAAGAGAACGTCAAGCAGCAGGTATGAGCTCCGTCACCTGCTCTGGATACAGTTGCTGGGGTAGCGGTGCGAAGGTGGCTGATCTCAAACACCAGCCTCATGGTGGGGTTCAGAGGGACTCTTTCATTGCTGGCCAAAGTCAGAACCTAACGGCAGGAGAGGACCCGTTTACACACAGCAGCATCCAGTGCATGAAAAAGTGAGTGAAAAAGACAGTGCTCTATTTGTGCTGTTTACAGAGTCGAAGCCCGGATTGTCGATTATTCTTACCACAAGTTTACTACGCTCTTAGATCGGTGATGAGTCACTCGCATTTATTTGTCATTTGTGAGTGCTCATTTGGTGAACAGTAAAAAAAAAAAAAAATGGTTTTGATACTAAATAAAAGCCACAGTGACACACACACACATAAATAGAGAATTTTCTCACACCTTGTTGTCATCCATGACTGTGTTGAGTGACTCAATCCACATTGGGTCAATATCTCCATCCAGAACAATCCACTTAGGCCCACCGTGACTAATGTTGGCCAGTTCGCGCATTATACTGGAAAACAGGCCTGTGAGATTATGAGTTCATGGTTTGGATATTTGAGACATAACATTTGACGCTTTGCGCCGATTAAATACTGCTTTTCCAACCACTTGATAGTCACCGTCTTTCCACTCTCTAGTAGCCGGGTTGATGATTCCAAAGAGCTCATCGTTGGTCACAGCCTTCGGGTTCAGGTCCGCCCACACAGGCCGACGCTTCATGTTCTGATAGGTCCTCTGGAGGGACCTCATGACTTGACTCTTTCCGGTGCCTGCATTCCCGATCACAAACACGGAGTGACGCACCGCCAGCAGCTCCTCCAGCTGCACCACCTGATACAGAGACGGAGAGAAAAACCTTTTCAGCTCTGCAACTACATTCTAGCCTTTCGTTTGAACTGTGCTACTCATTAAGCTGCTTGTCATCTTTGATCATTATTGACAAAGTGCTGTGGAAAGACAGTTTACAGCTTCATGGCACTGCACTGACTAACTACAATAACAATCCTTCAGTGTATTTTGGATGGAGTGATATGTGCAATCAAAGTAGTCTAGAATTGGCCTGTTTTGCTGCAGATTAACTTAACTGTTTATACTTGCATTCAAATTATTTTGCCGAATGGGATCAACCGGACCGCTTTCATTCATTTTACTTTTACTTACTTCCAACTTACCGTGTATATAGATTTATAGATACATTTATACTGTGAAATACTTGAAATAAAGCTTTTTCTGAGTCTGATCTGGTCATGCACATGTAAATTAACAATGTGACAGAGCAAAAAAAGCAAGACACGACATATTACATTAGTCAATATCCACGAAACAAAAACTAAATCAACGTGCAGAAGCAGTGTGTGAAGCATGAGGTGCATTCATGCTGTCTTCATAGGAATTAGGATGGTACGCAGAAGTCACTTGCTGCCGATGGAATTCACTATTTACCTGATTTTCAGTAAGAGTGAGCACCACAAAAATAAATGAAAAATTGAAGGATCATAAGGTCATTTCTAAACTATTTCAAGTTTGCAATAGGAAAGATTATCCGCAAGTGGACGGATTTCGAGAAAAAGCCAATCTAACCAGGAGTTGGATGTCTGAATGAGTTCACCTTGAGCCCTTGTTTCATGCTCAAAAAAACTCACAAACCTACAGGTTTCAAATATAAATAGCCTGAACAGGTACAGCTTGTTTGGAAGAGTTGCAGTCTCTAAGAAGAACTTGGCAGCAGAGCTTATGTTTGAAGAATTGCATTCCCTACAAACCACACGACTGCTGGAACGATGTCCTTTGGACATACGAGAACATTGCATTAAATAGTTTTGTTCATTTCCAGGACCTGCAAATATGCAAAATGGTGCAATGGTTTTCACATGTAAACTGGGAGTGTGGGGATCCCACTTGGAGGTTGGGGATATGAGAGAGTGATTACTCAGATAATGATAATTTGAGCTTAATACATGCTGAATTATTATTGCTGCCCAATTTGGTCCCACAAGCACTGTTTCTGTAGTTTGGAGATATTTGGTCGTGTAATCTAGAAATTGCATTTCTCTTATCTAAAGGACTGATAGATACCAAATCCCTTTTTATCATGTTCTGCTATTTAACATAATAAGATAGAACCATTTTTTAAAGTTTGCAAGACTAGAAATGAGCTTATTAAGGACATAATAAAAAGATTAGTGTACTAATATTTGTACTGTATATTATGTATTTGAACTGAGCCACTTTAATGAAAACTAGCATGGTGAAGTCTATCAGGAAAATTACTTTAATCGTTTGGGAAAATAAAAGTTTTGGAGTTTTTACCCTTATCAAGAACATTCAAAGAGTTGTGTACTTTATTTAGTAATTGCATGATAAACTTTGCCTCTTTCAAGTGATTAACTATGACAACGTAGTCTAAATTCAACTTTTCATTTGGTGATAATTTGCTTCATGGTGACAACAAAACCCTAAATGCCCTCCTGTTAAGTTCTGTTGGAAGCTTCCTCAGTATTCTGTGATTAAAAACAATGGTCTGTTGAAAATGACTTCCATTAACCCAAATGCCACAAATAACTTATTATTCATGAAAAGAACCAAGTAGTTTGTACTTCTCCAGCGCTGAGTTATATTGGTTTTACCATTTCAAAGTCAAATTGACCCTCCAGAATGTAGCATTTTTAAGTAGAAGTGCATTAGGTGACACTACAAAATAGTATGAAGTGAGTGTGGATAATGGATGGACAGTGGGACCACGGAGAAAAAAACAACTACAAGAGAAAGGGAGTGATTTCCTCCCCACATTTGCTCAAACATACAGATGGCTCACCCAATCAATTGTATCGACCAGGTTCCTCGCTGCCCTCACCCCCCCTTTCCATTCAGGCGGCTTTGCATTGTCAGAGTCCCTGCCCTTATTACCGCTTTGATGTAAGGAGTCCTGACGCTAGCGTATGCTAATGCTAAAGGCACACAGCCTCCACCGCCTCGCTTCCGCCCGCCCGTCTCATCCCTGTGTCTGGAATCAAAAGGCCGGTCCCACAAACAGAGACCGTAAAGTTCAGGCTCGGAGGGTGTGTGGTTGTTATTGACCGCTCTACCGTTCTCTCTCCACCTCTCACTCTGTTTCGCCCCCTCTTTGTTTATTTCTGTGGCTGTCTCTCACAATGTCAGGGTTAAGTGGCACGGCGCAGCAGCGGCCTCCGTTGATGGAGTGTTATTATGTGGTTCCCATGTCTATTTGACCTAAGGCAGATCGCTTTTATTTCCCTTGGTCCTGTGTACTCCTGTCTCCGACACGTAACACCTTCCATTGTGTGTGTGTGTACATCGGTGGGTAATATAATGACTCGAATTAGGTCATCAGCCCAGGCACCTGAACTCGCATCGCAGCCAACCGCTGGCTAATGGCGAGATTTGCCCAATTCATCCAGATGCTGCGGACTCGTTGACACTAATGTGTATTTCCCAGAGGAGCATATGTCACGAGGCAAATCGCTTTTGGAGAGAATGGAGATACATTGAAAATGAAAGAGCTGCAACTGTAATTTCTGTCAAAATTGTGAGACAATTCAATTAATTTCCTTCATAGCACAACTTAGTATCAAACTTACACTGGCAACATATTTTTTTTCCTTGTCTACTGTGATTTAAAGCTAGATTGAAGATTGATGAGGCACATCATACCTTGAGCACAAAATTGTCCTCAGCTTGCAACTTCAAGTCCAGAATAGACTGCTTCACGTAAGTTTCAAAGTCCAGGTCTCTTTTCCTGGGGATGTCCAGCGAGGGGAACAGATCTCCTATCAGCCCCATGAACACCGGCATGTCGTCGGTGACGATCTTGGGAATGTTGAAGTCTCTCAGAGCTCTCATTAGCACCTGGTCTTCGGCTCGGCCTGGGTCTCCCCTTTTCAGAGAGCCGGCCACCACTAACACCGACTTGATGGCTCGAAGGCCCCAGTCATAGTGGTCCTACAGGAAAGGGGAAAGGACAAAAGACCTGAGCACGGTTGTCAATCCTTCACCAGCCTTTTCGCTTCCCATTAACAAAGCTTCCCAATCCTTTTATAAGGATAAAAACAGTTTAATCATTGGTTTGATCATTGTAGTCAAAACGCCTGGAGTGTAAAATTTCTTCAGGTTTATCATTTCAAGCTACAGTACTTAGCTAGTTTTTTAATCTAGAGCTAAAGTAAGCAGTTTCTAATAAAAAATGACAACAGAGAACTTGCCTCGTCTTTGAATGTAAGAAAATAGTTGAACTGAAAAGGAGCCAAATGATTTGTCGTGTTCGCGGTTGCCTTTTTAAATGTTCCACCTTTTAAAGTCTCAGTTCAACAAACAGAAGGCAGACAAGGAGAATCCTAAAGTTTTAGCGCTCTGAATTGGTCTTTGTAGCTTTGGTAACATCACAGCTTGCTGATGCTTTTCTGTAGCAGCTCTTCTACAGACGATGCTTCCTGCTAAAGGCGTAAGGTTCTTTGAGAATTTTGGGTCTTTTCAGTGTTCTGCTATTTCTTTCTGAAGTTCTTTCATATATTCTAGTTCTCTGTGATGAGTTGTTTGGTTTAGGTAACAACAAAAGGTTGGGACAAATATAGAAATGATTTAGAATAAAGTTGACATCATTACGTTATTACACTATAAATGCTTCCATTTGTTGTTTGTATAACTATACTTGATTTGTCCTGGATGTCCTGTGCTTTCAGGGATCAGTAAGGCTCATAGTTACACTATTTAAATGTCTATATAATAATTCAGACAAACACTGACAGTTTCAGTGGAGCGTTTCATTGTTACAGCAGGCTGGTGTATCTATCATCACATCTAATAAATTGTATTGTAAACAAAACTTGTTGATTCGCTATTGATTAAATGAGGGAATGCTGACTGCATTCATTGTGTTATTGATTCAAAAATAAAAAGAGCTGAAACATTGTTTGTACAGGTTCATGTGATCTGGTAAGGTTTAATTATTTCACTCACATCAGACACGTTTTAATAAAATTTAATCTAATTTATTCATTCTATCCCACAACTGTGGAAGCTTCCTGTGAGTCACCTCTGATGCCACACCTAAAAAATGTCCAGTCAGTTGTACTCACAGCCTTGTCTCTAGTTCACTTGTCCAAGTCAGTTGGGGAACATATCTGAGGACCTATTTATTCATTTATTTCCTGGCTCTAAGGTAGTCGAAACCAGCTTATTTGAAAGAGCAAAGAGAGGTGGATTTCTGCAGACATTTATTATGGAGCAGTCTAATGGAGGAGCCTCGTTTCAGCTGCTGAGGAGAAAAATCACAATAAACAGATCCGGAGGGCCGCCTCCTCCTTCGAGTGACCCTTGACCCAGTGCGGGTGGTGGGATAGATGTGTGGGAGACAGGAGAGTGCTACCAAAGCTCCCACTCCTGGGCAGCGTCTCTCAACCCATGCATGACACAGTCGGCACTGAAAAGCTCCTCCAGTGACAGACTGCTGCACCCTTAATGTAGGAAAGCACATTAAATGTGCGGAATATTGTCTTCCTGTCTGTGGCTGTCACACTGTACAAGCAGCACTGCTCCCAAATGGCCACAAAGCCGGCAAAAAATAAACTGCTTAAGGTCAAACATCCTTCATATAACTCAACAGTGACCGTTGACTGTGAAAAAGCCTCTTTGAAACTCTTTATTCCTACAGTTTTGTTCATTTATTACAAAATACTTCTGTGTAATTTTTCTGTTCTGCTTACTCATATGTATTACACAATATTTATGTAAGAATGGTTTTATATGGTTTGTTTTTGTGTGTGTGCTCTGTTTTTTCCATCTTATAATCATAAAGAATAAGGATGGCTATCAAGCATGCGTAGTCTGATTGTAATAAGTTAGTTGTTCTTTCAAGGTTATTGTGTCACCATGAGAAAATAAATGATTATATCTAAAGGAAATCCACCTGCAATTTAGGAGTCCAACAATAATGTATTTACCCTGTCATGCATGGTGGTCACTAGAGTGGACAGCTATTTAAAGGCCATTTTCTTGTGTATATGTGGGTTTCTATGTTTTAAATGTGCGTTAGCCAGTAAAGTAGACACTGGTGCATTATGCAATAAAAATAGAAAAATATCCACATTAATATGCTGTTAAAGAGGAGCAGAGAGAGACTAAAATAAATCAAGGGTGAGAAAAGGGATGAGAGTAGTAGATATTAGAATAGGATTAGAGTTGCATACAAAACTCCATATTTGTGCATTTTGTTAACAAATGTCAAAATATGTTAACCTTGTAACATGCAGTATTTCATCAGTAACTAATCTTAAAATATATGCAGTCCACTTGACTGGAAAAAACCTTTTTGACACATTTTTGACAAAACATTTTTTTCACCCTTTTTTTAGTGCTTTAAGAAAATCAAAAAACGCTTTTGAAAAAAATCCTGACTGAAATCATCATAATTCTTGCATCAAAGGGCTTTAATGACAGACATTTTTATCAGGTAGCCAGAGGCATAGAACTGATGGCAGAGCAGAGAGGTCACATACAATCAACTCTGTGGCCAAATAGTCCACACCAGATTTTTGTCATAAAAGACGATTCAATTGTACTTACATGGCAAAACAAACAGTTTTCTCAAATGGCCTGCCTTTGTTTGGTAATATGGAACCGAATTTACAGAAACCTCTTTTTAAAAACATCATTAAATCCTAAACTGAAGAAAGTTTTCAGATTCTGTACTTTCAAATGTCATTTCAGCTCATGTAAATCTAATTTCGAAGAGCAATCAGCTCATTAGAATTTCATGTTTTTTCCTGCTATGCTGCTAATGTTTGAAAACTTTCAATTAAATTAAGACAAACGACTTTGAGAAAGCAAAAAAATTATAATACAGTTTCTTTTTTTTTTATGACTTCATTTAACAGCCATTAAATTAAAGCAGAGTAATATGACACTTAAACGTGCCTGTGGTCATGGAAAATTTATCCAGAACTGATGGCTCATAAAACCACTTATCCAAGCTGAGAAGCTGTACCGCAACTATCAATCAGCCCAGTGATCAATTTCATTGCTTTTTTAACTTGTGAAGGGGAAAGCATGAAATGTAAAACAGGAGCAGAGTAAGAAAGATTAAATAAATCTTAAATAAATAAACAAAAATCAGCAGCCTCTTGTATATATAACTTGCAAGTCTTAGATGCAGTTACTAATCTGTAACCGAGTGATGCCTTAGAGGCATTCCTTCATCAAAAACCTAAATAAGAAGATTGTGTGAGTAATTATGATTTAAGCTGTTTATAGCTTTGGGCCACATCACAATAATGAATAAAGGAGACTGTACCTGTTTGGACAGCAGCTCTCTACACAATGTGTAGAGGGTAATGAATTTCCTGGCAAGGACGCGTGCATTGATAAAACCTTCGGCCACCAGCATGATTTCACAGATGAGCTCGAAGTCTGGCACCACCATGGCACACGGTCTGTGGACAAATGTCAGGAGGGCTTCATTGTAGCTGATGATGCTATCAATTCATTCAGTCCATAATTCGTCACTCGCGGCTAAACACGCCAAAATACAAACCTGGTTGGTAATATAGCCTCACCCATTCGAACAAAACAAATATTTTCTGACCTGCAACGCATCATTGGAATGGAATTAAAACATGTTAGCTCCCATTCAAGGGTAAAGAGGTCTAAGGCGCATTTTAATTGCAATTCATAACAATTTGTTACAGAGAACATTAGCGGCCCTGGAAGGGGATTAATCGTGGGGGCCATTTGACTAATATGAGCACACATGGCAAAATCATTAGTTTTGCTTTTGCAATTATTTATTCACACTCTTCACACTTCTGCAGAAAAGTAAACACGTAAAGACAGTAAAGCAGAGAAGCCTTTACTCCAGAAGGTTTCATTCTTTTTTTTGTCAAACAGTCATGTCAGCTTTTACAACTAAAAAATCCATCAATAGACTCAAGAGTTAATAAATATATCAGAATATTTTTCTTTCTTTACTGTATTACTTTACTACATAACTGTATTTACTGTATTATACAGGGTCACAACATGAGTAATAATTTATGTCTGATTAATATGATAATCATAATTTTACCTCTCAGACTTAGGCGGATTTCAGTAAAGTTTATGTCTTAATGTCAATATAAATCAAACATATATACATACATGATGGATATTTGTATGAATTATGTATTTTATGTGATAACCCTTTATCATAATACATGAAATATTCAAATGTATCCACCCCGTTTCTCCACCCTGCCAATGAGGACTTACACATATCCTTGTTTCTTGATAGATTAAACATGAACTGATTGATTTAAAATCTAAGTAAAATAAGACAAAAAACAACCAAACACAGGAATCCAGCACAGATTACGTGGTGTATTGAACTAAAATCTTCTGTGACCAACCTGAAAAGAGCTTTGAGGTTCTCAGGAAGCTCAGTCCTGCCGGCATAGCCTGGATTCATGGTGATGAAGATCCCCACAGAGCGACAGAGGTTCACCTCCTCTCCCATGAAGTTGAATCTCTGCTTCTTATCACGGATGGCATCTTGAATGCTTTTGACCTCAATACAAACACAGCACAGGACAGAATGAACTCCCACATTCCCGTACAATAAAAACTCAATGTGAACATTGTATTTAATGTAGGAAGGTTTAAAAGTTCCTTTTTGGCTGCATAAAAGCTCTCTTTGAAGTAGATTGTAAAATTTATTGTAATTGATTTTAAAATCAAAATAATAAACAAACCTTTTACAAACTTTCCTAAATTAAGATGACATTACTCGCAGATGTTTGTGGGATTTTAAGGTCTCCAATATGCAGATTTACAACCCAGTCATTCTTCATTTGAAGTGATTCTATTTTTTTTTTAAACCCTTATTCCACTTTTTCCCCATTCACTTAACCTATTTTTATTTTTAATAATCTGCTTTTGTTTGTTAGTTCTGCTAAATTAATAATACAAGGAAAAATAAAGAGACAAAAAGTATTTTTTCAAACTCCTGAAAGGCAAAGATGATATAATCATTACTTGATATGTAAGAAGTCATTAAAAAGAGGGGCTTTTAGGAGAAAAGATGAGCAGTCTTCTGTGTAAATACAAATGTGTTTCTCAAACTAATTCTTAAAAGACAGATTGGAAAGGACTTTCATATTTCTCTCACATCCATGCAGAATTTATCTCAAGGACTCAAGCAATCTTAAAGAATGACATGAAAAGAAAGTGCAAAAAATCCAGCCTATGCAAACAACTCAATCACTGATCCTTCAGCCATTACTGCATCGAGAACTGTCATTCATCAGTAACTGACATTCAAACATGGTGAGGAATAGCTTTAGGGAACCTTTGTCATATGCTCACAAATGTACAATCAAACTCTACAGGACACTCTGAGATGGGCCATTACATTGTAGAAAGGTTTGTTGATATTCTAGAAAGAACATGGACACTCTATGCTTTGAACCTAAATACAAAGAGGAATACAAAATCAGGTTCAGTGAAATTATGGAGCTGTGTCAGAGTTGTTAAGCAACATATGCTGACCTTGAGATGGCATTTATTCATTTATTTTTAACAAGATAACGTAAAACCACACTGCATTAAACTACGTATTGGATGCGATCCAGGCCTGGCTTAAAAAAACCTCTTCATCACTAAATTCTATTAAATCACCGAGGCAAATTTATACACATACATACATTTATACATTGATGCTACATTCCTGTCTGAGATGACTGTTCTTATTTGGTTTTGTTTTGTTTTGTTTGAATAGGAGTTGTATAAATATGTTGTACAGAGTCCAATTCTAAAATGGCAATCATTAATAGAGGCTCATGAAAATTAATTTCTCATGAGCGGCTGCAGAAAAAGACTAGATGTTAAAGTCAAAATCTCTTTTTTTTTTAGCCATGACAGTTGTTTTAAAATGTATCTTTACAGCCTTGTAGGGAAATATCCATCTCTTTGCACTTCCTAGCTTAACATAAACTGAATGTTTTATAAGACTGTTAAATCTTACATTTCCACAGCAACAATCCCACCGTCCATTCAATTTTCTAAACCCACTTACTCCTGATAGGGTCACGGGGGGGGCGGGGGCAGAGCCCATCCTGGCTGTCTTCGGAAAAGATGCGGGTTGCGACCCGGACCGGTCCGTCACGAGGACACACCGAGAGGCAAACAGGACGCACACGCACGAACACGCACGCACTCGTGCAGGCAATTAGAATCAGCAATTAACCTAACAAGCCCGAGTGCGGCAAAAGTCATCAAGGCAGAATATCCATAATTTACAGCGTGCGACGGATATCTATCCGGTGACTGTTGAGGTGTTTCTGACTAATTTATGGACTAACATCAGCCAGAGCAACAACGACATTGCTTCATTATCAAAGTGAACCACGGCTAAAAAGGATGATGAGAATTCCCAAGTCTATCTCATTTGCAAATGATTAATATAAAAAAGCACTCACCAAAATCAGTTGGTAACAGCCCGTCAACCTGTTAGGAGCAGTGTGTGTGTGTTTGTGTGTATGTGTGTGTGGGGGGGGGGGGTCAATAACATGCACATGCTTTTGGCAAGGGTTTCGCAGATGGATGAGCGACCAAGTTTCTCCTTGTCCACATTATGTCTGAATGAGTTCTCGGAAATGAACTTTCTGTGTACGTCTTGGTCTGAAACTCTGAAGCCCCCGAACGTCAGAAGCTTTATAAATTTAACATGTGGATGTTAAAAGAGCGCGGAGTCGACAGCTGGAAAGAGAAGGAGCATCTCTTTGTGGATGAGTTCTCGGGAACAGATTACTCAGTCATACGGGGCGGGGCGGGGTGGGGGGGGGGCGAACAAACAGGGCAGCTGGAACACACACGTACACGGACACACACACACACACACACAAAGTTTCTACAAACACATGAGCACATCACTGGAGCTTGTTTTCATGTGAGGTGACAGCATTGCTACCCTACACACATACAAAAGGTGAGTAAAAGGCAGTAAAAAAAATGGAAAAAGTTGGTTAAAATATGGTGTTCAGAGAAGCAGGCTCGGGTGGACTCATGTTCCTCACTTCCTTTACTCTCGTTAGATATACTGTCTGAGGCAAGTAGTCCCAGTATAGCAACAGAGCAGGCTCGTGTTGGCTGTAAGAGAGGCGGAACGTCCTCAATTTATCTCCATGCTGTTGTGTCTGACTGCCTTCTGTTTGTCGGTGTTTATTTGGTGTAGCGCCGGTCCACCACCTGCGTTAGCAGACCGAGCAGAAGCCGAGGACGTCGCCGCGCGGTGCTAGCGGCTCCCGCTTTTCAGAGGATGGATTAGGCGTGTGTGCGCGCGGGGAGGGGATGGCTGCGCGTCGGCTCCACTGAGGCAGGCTGAGTGCCGGCGCGGGCTGCCAGCTGTCACAGCGGGAGTTTGATGCTTCTCTGTTCTCAAGGTCTGCTTCTCCACTATAAGCCACCGTGATTTATTATTCATTACACAATGCAACACCTATTCATTCTTCTGGCACTTTAAAATTCTCTAAGTACTGTGGACTTCCACAGCTTATGGAGGAAGACTGCCTGACTTTCATCTCTGCTTACAAGGGAAGAGAAGGGCAAGGGAGTCTGCCGATGAATAATGATCTATCGGAGGAGCTCCATCACCGTTATCTCCACCATCATCGCGATCATAATCGATATCCTTATCAGCTGTATACATTCTGCTTTGACAGTCCTGTCCGTGTACGAGGATAGAGTCAGCAACAATAACATTTAAACAGGCCTGAGATATTTATGGAGCCGCAGGGGTGATCTGTTTGATCCAGGATAGCAGCATGCAAGATAGCAGAGAAGCAAACATCAGCTAAATATACAGGATGTGGCTGATTTCTCAAAAGCCTGCTCTTTTCAAAGTGCAAGCTCTTTTGGGAACACGACATTCAGAGTGGAGGTGTTTTTTTTCCTTTAAGGGAGCAGAAGGAAAACTGGGAGAGGACACTGACAGGTCACTTCATCCTGAGAGTTGTAGATTCCTATGATACTGCTAATGTATCAATGTATGTTTCTTTGGTGCACTTACCTAAACTTCTACTTATCAAATATATATATTTCAGCCCATTAAAGGAAAAAAGGTGGATTCTCCCTTTGTTGGGTCCCCCGGATTGGGAGTATCGCCAGCTTTAATCAGTGAAATGGGAGCAGAGCCAGAAGGCCATGCTTTCAAGTTACTGATCCTTTTTTAGTGTCGACCTCTGGTCACATGATCTGAGTAGAGATCATAGTATAATATAGAACAAGACGGATGGAGGAGTGTCTGTGTTACCTTCCTGAACCAGCCGTTCCTCAGATAAGTGGACAAAAATTAAATGGGATCAAATTATCGATATGTGTATTAGCATGAAGAACTATGAAAATTCTGGAGCCAATCTGTTTCTTTATAAAGTGCGAGGAAGTAGGTGAAATCTTTTTATCAAGACACGTGTAACCATAACCTGAATAACAGCATGTGGGGATAAACAGCTTGGTATGAGCAACTTTACTCCTCAAACAAGCCTGAACTGTTTTGACAAGGTTTCTCCTCTGTCGTTTCTTTCAAGTGATCTATCAGGAATAGTTCCCAAGGCTACTTGAGCTCAGCCGCTTTCTTCCCATTCCCATTGTCCCCATTCCATAGAGATCATTTCTGATAGGCTTCACCAAAGAGGTTTGAACAGTAGATAGAGCGTCTGAAGGTCCAGTTTCAAGACTTCACTGGATTGTTTTTTTTGTTTTTTTTAGGGATTTTCCTTGTAGATACTCTTCAACTGCTTTTAGAATGCAAAGCTAGGAGTGAGTGTGTGTGGTTATGTGTGAACACTGCCACATGTTCAGGCAGTGGACGTGCAGAGGTGTAGTGTAGAGTGCTTTGAGTGGTTAGTTTGACTGGAAAAGTGCTATAAGTACAAGTCAATTCTATTTACCACTCCTATTCTAGTCCAATATCAGCCCCGGAAGCATAATCGGTATAGACAATGGATGGATGAATATCTGTTGAGCTGACTGTTTTATGTGGACACAACCTTTGAGTTGAATGTTCTCCTATGCTTGAATGATCAGTGAAAGAATAATGATTGATTTGAAAATTGTCCGATACAAAGTCTGGCTCAATGAAGTAATAATCTGATAAAGAAGTAAAAACATGCAGTCAAAGTCCAAAGAAAAATCCAAAAGGCCTGTAGCTTCAAGCAGAATACTATACATAGTACTTCTGTCCTGATTTCCATTTTAACACATTACATGAAACCACTTAATTACTTCTCATAAGACAATTCTGCAGGGCACAAAGTAGATCATTATGAACCAATGTCTGTTTCCAACGATAATGGCAACCAGACACTGGTTGGTCCTAATTACGTGGCAAAACATTTCTTTATTTACAAAGTTTAAACTGAGAACAATTAACAAATGGCCTAAATAACTTCAGCTTATTCATCGAGAGGTGGAAGTTACTCAATTCAGGGGAGCTGTTAACTGGTGCTGGAAGATGGAGACGATGCAACAAGGAAATCATAACAGGTGAGCGGAAGGTGGTTTTCCATCCTTGACTTTCATTTCAGATCAGATACGGTTTTAATTACACGGAGGGCCTTAAGTTTAAAGGTGACGGAATTTGTGCCGGGAAACTGTGATGAGGTGTTTACTTCCTCAGTGTTGTTTTCATGGGCTTACCTCCACCACAACTTGATTTTGAAGGATAATATTTCAATTAAAATAGAAAAAGTCATCCATTCAGCCCTTCCTTGTTTAAACTTACACAGTAGGAGCTTTTAACACTAAATCTGAAACTGATGTACGAGTTCCAATAAGGATTCGGTGAACTTGCTCTTACCTGTACAGCCACCACAGACAGCACTTCCACAGAGATCCTGTTAAACTCGTCGAAGCAGCCCCATGCCCCCGTCTGAGCCAAGCCTTTGTAGATGTTCCCGCATGACTGGTGGGCAGATGATTATTCAGTCAGCATCACAGGTAGCAACTTGGGGTATGAATGAAGTCATAAAAGTGATCTTGTGTCTTTTGAGGCATGCTGAATAATTAAAGACCTGACCATATTGTTTCAAACATGGTCTAGAAAAAAAAACAGCCATCTGTATTTTTGATGCAGGGTGCATTCATCCAGAATTTCACAGTCCAGCCATATCCATCGGCAAATTAGAAACATCTTACATTACCAATTCTTGGCAGAAGAGTATCCAAGGAGATGTTGAAGCCGTAATGTCTAAATAATGCCGCATTATTATTATTTTTATTCTTTTTTTTTTAGTTATGGATTCAACTGTCCCTCGTCAGGAAACCAGAAGCATCTTGTTCTCAACATGTAGGCTGTGTAGTTCCATTCTTTTACTTACATATGACAAATGAAATCCACTGAGATGAGATCTGTGCTGACCACATTCAATCGAATAGTGTAATATGAGTTTGGAATGCTATTGTTACACAGTGCAGAAGGCCCTTGGGCTCAGAGTTGATATTGATTCTGGCCATCTGACTGTTCACAGTTGAAACTATGATTCCTTATTCTTATCAAAGGATTATTATTTTTCTATATTTATGTATCACACTGCCCCTTTAGGATCTCCCATTGGCATTATCAGCACACATACAGTACACTTTAGAGAGATGTTTATGAAATTCTTCATAACATTTAATTTGTTTGAAAAAATATACTAATTTGAATTAATAATGTATTTCGATAAATAGTTATATTATGTGATGTATAAATTAAGTGATGACAATGACACAAACCTCTGTTCTAGTCCTGTGAATATTAGGCTTAGCTACAAAAAATAACATACTTCATCTTATTTCACTTTAATAATAGTTCAGTTCAAAACCCTCAAAAACCAAAAAGAACACTATTCTATAGGACGTTTGGTGCGACTGACTGATTGGGCATGTGGTTAGCTGCACAGAGACATATTGGTAATTATACAAAGGATGTTTGGAAAGACATTCAGCTTTATCAAAGCTACCAAGGCAGAGCGAGACTGCTACATAAACATGGCCCTACCCTAATGAAAGCAGGGCGCATTTTGCGAAAAAAAATAAATAAAAAAGAAGAAGGCTAAAACATCTACCAATCACATTTCATGTTCGGTGGAGCGTTGACTTGAACGGCCCTCCAGAGAGCAGCTGGACCAGGATGAAGCGGGCAGCTCACCGGTCTCTTGGATTGCGGCACCAACTAACCTGTCTGATGCAAACTAGAGGTGACTGGAGGACTGATCTAACTCATTGCTGGGTGCATGGATGTGTGTGAGCATAACTGAAAATGAGTAATAGTGCGGGGCTCTGAAAGCCAGCTTCCAGTGTATGTGCTCCTCCTGGAGTACATTAGCCCTTCTCCCTGTAGACACCTTTGTGAGGAATGTATAGCCAGGGGTGCTGTACGCCTCTATACTGTAATGATGTCCCTGTCTGAGGGAGGCAGGACCGAGCCAGATCACAAGATTACACACCCCCTTTAACCACTTTATCTGCAAAGGGGTGTGAATAACAATATGCTAAAGCGCATGGTAGAGGATGAATACTGAGGACGTTTTCTGACAAGGTTTGGAAGTGAAAAAAATAAAGAATAAATAAATGAATAAATCAACCTCGAGCTAATCAGCTCTTCCTTTAAAAGGAGGATGAAAAGAAAAGAGATGAAAAGGGACGGGCATAAGGGGGGGTCTGACTATTTTAATGACAAATGCACACCATGTGTCTGGAAAAGACAGGCGAAAAGAAACATACAGGACGCTGAGCTCTGTGCATGTGTGTTTGCTCACCTTATAGTCCATCTGCTCAGAGCAGTTGAACACGTACACCATGATGCCCAGGGCTCGTCCCAGGTCTTTAGTAGTCTCGGTCTTGCCTGTGCCTGCAGGCCCTGCTGGGGCTCCACTCATAGTTAGGTGGAGGGACTGAGTCAACGTGATGTAGCATCTAAATTTGAAGGAGAAACACACACAGGAATCAGTGCTCAGGATCTCCAGGCGGCTGTGTCAAAAAAGAGTCATTCAAAACTGGTCTTAACAGCAGGCACACAAACCCTCAAACAAACAACACGAGTTGAGAAGCACCCCTATAAAAAGGGAGGTTTTGGTATTTTGTTGGTCTGTAGCATCCAGATGTGGCACAATGGAGAAGACACGTCAGAATAACTTAGAGATGCCGCTGTTGCTGCCAATAAATCTTAAGAGTGTTATAATGCTAGTTCCAAGTGCGTGTATCTGTCATTCCACATTGGAAAAAAAGTGGGAAGATACTCAGAGGCTCAGTGAGCTAATCAAGTTCCTCACAGGACAATTGGAAAATTTAAATGGCCGCAGGAGAAAGTGTGTTTAAAAGCTGCATTTGAAACAACCACAATGAGAACCTCATGCCAAATACAAAACATGGTGGAGGAGGGATGATGATTTTTTTTTACTCACTAGTGACCTCACTCACACATTCTCCTCCATTATTAGTCCTGCCTTTTATTTACGACATTAAAGCAGTAAGCTGGCTTTGTAACGTTTATTTCACCACAACACAAACTATTTTCTTATTATTATGCAAAACAGATGTAAAATTATGCAGACAGTAACCATTAGAAGTCCACTCATCTGCACAGAAATAAAAAAAATGTTTTTAAAACCTCAAAATGGGATTTCAATCATGGTGTGTACTTTCTCCAATTTGTGTCATTTTTTTATTTTATTTATTCAGCATGTTGGTTAAGCCTCCTAATTTTAAAACAGACATTCTAACAACTGACCTTATGTGTTGTTGTTTGTTTATATTTTTAAGGGCGAGAAGATTTTTTTTCAATAATGGATAGCTATGCAGATTTGCAATACTGTGGCTCAGTCATTTGAAAAATGATCTCCTTTGTTAATGACTAGCATAACGGACTAAAAACAGCTGCAAAAGCTTGTTCATTTATTCAAACCTTTAAATTATCTAAAAAAGAAATATTCCTTAGTTTATAAACACAAAGAAGACAGTGGATTGGTTGTAGGTAATGTTTACCCTTTCCTGAAAATATTTATTTAAATTAGCCACTTTTTAAAAAGAAACTTTCCTGAAAACTGTCTGGCCCGGCTTTACTGTTTACAGTACAAACAACAGATCCTGAGTTTACACATATTCATAATGAGCTCTGACAATGTTTTAGTGTGAGCTTAATCATTATCATAAGCCTCATCATTATATGCTCTGCTCTTTAGCTTTGATTATTTCACACGATGATTGGTGACAGTTCTCTAGAACCTATCTGGGCTAATTAACAGTGAGCCTAGTATCAATAAAATCCAACAGTGAGCTGACAGACCCAATCAGAACTCTATTGATCAGGGCAATAAACCCAATGGCTTCCCTCGAATATCAATGCAGCAATGACTTCACTAAGCTGCTGGTTAACAGATGATGTATGGAAGTGGTAAATATTGGAAAGTGTAACAAGAATAGAAGACAAATGATCCCATCTGTATACAGTGCATCATCCAGATACCAGAGCCAACAGGCATGATGACTCTCCACTGAAATGCAGCCAAAAGCCTCACAATGAGCCATTTAGGAGGCTGGATAAGGATGTCCTGCGCAGAGGAATGTGGCCGGATGGGAGAGGAGAGAGATATTTAACTGGACTGTGACAAGGTGACTTGTTTCAGTCCGGCGTCCTTAAAAGCAACGGCCAAATAAAGGTTTTCTGGGTGGCAATATCCTAATTTTTCCTTCCTTTTAATTTGTCTTTTCCTAAGGATGTGCGTGCTGGAGAAAGCATTCCTGACCTTTTGAATAACGGTGCATATCTGGCGATCCTTAGTGTTCAGTGAATGCCTCAACTATAATGATAAGATTCCTACTATTGCAGATTAGCCTGCCTTCCTTTAAAGTAATTAGCTGACTGAGATATACATGTTCACACTGTGCGAGCCAGTAATCATCTTGTATGAATTTATAGGTTTAAAGGTTTTACTTTGTGTTTTTGGACGCAGTTTCAAAACATTGCACCTGAATTTCTTATAGCTCCCACCATGCCAAATACCTGCTCCAAAACCTCATTTAAGACACTTAGATTATGGTAGGAAGCTATATTTCTATTTCACTCATTTGTTCTTTAACTGCAGTTATTTATACAATAGGTTATGTAAATCTTTTTCATTTGCCTTTCTGTTAGAAGGTGCACCGTAATCTGACTAGCCTGTGGCTGTCCTGCTTCAGCCAGTCAAAATGCCAGGTTGAAAGCGATGCATTGATCGTACGCTGTCACATCGTCGGAGCTTAGTGGGGATGAGGCATAATTAATTCATCAGCATCGTTAACATCATTATTATTGATGGAACCTGTTAACCGAAATGTGGAACTCAATGAAATGTTTTCATATGTCTGACAGACTTTTAGGGCAGATCAGCCACATCTAATAACAGTGGCGTGAGTGGGATAAATCCATCCATTATCCATACCGCTTATTCCCAAACGGGGTCGCGGAGGGGGCTGGAGCATATTCCGGCCCACGATGGGCAAGAGGCGGGGTGCACCCTGGACAGGTCGCTGGTCCATCACAGGGCCGCACAGAGACAAACAACCATACACACTCACATTCACATCTAAGGGCTATTTGGAGTGTCCAATTAGCCTAACATGCATGTTTTTGGACGGTGGGACGAAGCCAGAGAACCAGGAAGGAACCCACGCTAACACAGGGAGAACTTCCAAACTCCAAGCAGAAAGGCCCTGGTGCTCGGGGACTTGAACCGGGAACCCGCATGATAACAATGGAGGCAGTGGTGCTGTTTGCCACACCACAGGGCCGCCCCAACTGTGACCTTAATCACCAGAATTATACAGTAGCAGCGCTCATTGAGAGCCTATTTGCGTGGGTTTATCCAACTGAATCACCAGGAGATAGCCTGGATCCGTTGCACCAGTTTCACAGAACAAACCCCCGCAGCAACATTATGAACCAATCAGGCCTCTCAGAAGGTCAGCCTCACACAGTCATCAGTGTTACATGTACTGGAAATGGAATAAAAACACATCTACTCTCATTCCTTTCATAAAAAGGGACACATTCATTGGAAATGGGAGTATTCATTATTGACACAATATAGGACAGAGAGTCCTGTTGGTCTTTTTATACATGTTGATGCTCAAACTAACATCTGATTCATTACAAATGTGAGTTTTATTTGTTTGTGTGAGTTATCCACACGTGTTTTTCAGTTCAAACTAAATTAATTTCTAATAAACTCAGCTGCATTTCTTATTGCTCTGCCAGTCTTGTTTTGAAGAAAGTTGTGCTCCAGTATCATGCACAAAATGCTCTTAACTGTTTCAGCTGTTTTCTCAAGTTCACAGATTAAAGGATTTGACTCCTGGCCTCCTGGTCCCTGGTCCATTGTTGCAATGAAAGGCAGTGGCAAACTGTGAGAGTTGCAGTAAGGGCATGCACCATATGGTGAAGTCTTGCTACAGGGACGCTGATCTGGCCATCAAAGCCCATTGTTTCTGCTTTGTTCAGGCTTCAAAGGGACCATTGGTCAGGCTGGAAAGCTGCACATTCAAACGCTGCCGTTTGCCAAAGGACTCTGGGACACAGGTATTCATCTGTGTGTGTACTTTATCAGGTGTTCAGAAGAAACGCGTGCATACGAACAAACAAGCTGCTGGAAACAGGCCCACGCTGAGTTGCTCTGATGGGCTTCAGTTCTTGTGAATGTAAATTCTAAAAAGGCATCATTTACTTTGAATCGGATAACCGGTCTGTATTTTGTCCTCTGAAAGTCTTGTCTACTTTTAGCACAAATAGATATTTTGAAAAAACAGGTTTGAACCTGATTTACAAAGTCTGCAGGCCTACAATAACGCATTTTGATTTACATTTTTGGTTGTTTTCAAAGACATAAAAAAGAGAAGTCAGACTCAGGTCTTTGCAAAACTAGCATTGGCAGTAAAAATGTGCAAAAAAATAATCAAATCAGTCTTGTTTATTTTGTTGTTGGTTTTTTTGCGCATTTCGGAAAGATAAAATGTCAAATGTCTGGGCATATTACTCCAATTAAACATCCAGACTATAGGATGATTCAGAATTCATTTACTTGAAAATTGATTTTGATTTTTCCAACAAATATGATTTAAGAAAGCAAAGCTCTGCTCTAACGGTCTGATGTAGCTTCCAGCTGTGTTTGTATTCTGCTTTTACTAAAGTACAAATGAGGTACAAAGATAACATGTGCATATTATTATTAATTGATATACTTCAGATGAAAGAAATTAAACATAAAATATATAACAGCAAAACACAGAAAATGTCATGAAGTCCATCTGAAATTAAGAAGTGAAGAAGCAAATCTTATAAAAAACTAAATGTATGCTTTTATATGTTGCTATTTTTCTAATCTTGGTAGAGAACATTATCTTTTTTTTCTCAGACTGGCAAATTGCTTTTTACTCCCCTTAAATCAATCTTTTATCATTCCATCTGTCCCAGATTTTTTGGCACATTTATGAAAACCAAAAAATAGATGAATGCAAATACTGATTAAAAAGTTACAAAGGTATTTTATTATATATTTGCCTGATTTTAAGGGGTGCTCCTGTGAAACGAAAGAAGGGAAAGCCTAGTGTGGCAATAGCAAACTAAAAGTCAGTCAACTTCTGAGTAGCAGTGGTTTCGTTAGCTACCTCTCGGTCAAGAATGAGCCCCCATACCTGTCTGTTAGAGGAGTGATGACTAATCGTGGCGTGTTGCCCAGGTACTCGTACGAATAGAGAAACTGGGCATCGCAGATGTTGGCAAAACAATGCCTCTCCTTGTCATCCCAGCGATGTCTAAGCTGGGAGAGCCACACGAAGGCCTGAGAGTTTTCCACCTCGAGAGGGAGAAAAAGGGGGGGGGGACAGAAAGACTTTATAGAGAGTGCCAAGGCTGGAGATAAAACCCAAAACAATCCGAGCTCTTCCACCCACTAATTATGCTAATTACAAACCTTGCCTGAATATCTTGAGTGCATTAATCATGGCTAATAGCCTCTCAAAAATACAGAGGAAATGTCAGTCTCTGCATAGGATTTCAAACGTGGCTGGTTGGATGTATTATGTGTGCCTTTCTCACCTTCTGCGCGATCATCTTGGCCACCACGTCTCTGGCGTGAACGTCGATGGTGCAGATGGTCATGACTTTCTGCCTGTCGCCCGGGGAGAGCTGGCCGATCAGCATGGAAATGAGGGTGTTGAGCTGGGACACCTGTTTTCTGTAGTACTCCTTCATCGAGTTGTCAGAGCCTTCCTCGAGACGGGCGAAAGCCATGTTGACGTCAGAGGTCCACCATATCTGAGTGCAGGTCAGCGCCACCTGGGCGGGGAAATAAGAGAATGACGGGTAACATAAGCAAGTTCAGATGACATCTAAACTTTAAGTGTTAATTAACTAAAGATTGTGTAATGCGACACCATTTAAATTCAGAAAATGTGCAAAACTGAGTCCTTTTTAAAAGCATTTCTCACAGTTTGTCATTGTATCCGCTGTAAAGAAATGCTTGCGCTGGGATTTAAAGGTTTCACTTGTCAGTTGTGGTTTCTTTCCTGATCAATGTGGAGGATCAGCTTCAATCAACACTGAGTGGATCGGGCAGGTGTTGTGTCATCTGGGTATTAATGGATTCAGTGTTGAAATACATTTGGTCGGGAAGCCTCTTAATAATTCCTTTGCAGTTAGGGAGGGGGCCGAGTTTTATCTGAAGTTTATCATTTAAAGGATATCTAGTTTAATTGTGATCCGACAGGTAAATTGATGAAATTGGTCAAGTTTAGTTTGTCTCAAACTGATCACCAGATGAATGATTTCAAAGCTATTTTGCTGATTCCTGCAGTTTAAGTTGTTCTGAAAAGAATATATAGTTTAACTATGATCAAAGTTTAGGTAATTAGGACAGTGACTGATATTTTTCACTGTTGTGTTGAACTTTAATCTGAAATGGATGTCTTATTAGAGTCTATATAATGTGCCAAACTATCAGTAAAGTTTGGTAAAGAAAAACATGAAAAAATATGCACAAAATATGCATAGAAAGAATATAAATAAGATGTACTTTAAAACATTTTTTAAAAAGTCAAACTTAAAAGTAATGTTGCCATATGATTTGATTTCCTTTGTGTTTAATCCATAAATGATGATCTATCGAAATTTACCTTCAAATCCCCATCATTTGTTCAGTTAACTCCACCTGTGTGACGCAACAACATCTTGAAAACAGATGCCAGCTTGAACGAACGGGAGCAGGAGTCATTCTGCTATGAGCAAAATGCAAACATTCTAATTGGTGTTTTAACATTAGAAACTTCTGTTAAAGTTGCTGCAAAGTATTGATTTATGGATCATTGTTTCTTTTCTCTTCTTCCACTGATTCAAACACAACAAAAATTCCATATCAATTCCAGACTAGAATGCAACTAAATAGAAAAAAGTCCCAAAGGGCTGAACACTTTTCCAATGCAGCATATATACAGATTCACTTTGTGTGTGTTTCTCTAAGAGCTTTAGTAAAGTCCATTCAATATGGCTGACTGTAAAAATGATGTGTTTCTTTAAAACGTTCTGAATCATAGACTGCTTCTGTGCAGCTTACAGGACATAGTGGAACTAAATATAACCGACATACAAGTTTAGTGTTTGGACTGCGTACTTGATGTGGTTTCCTCAATAAATAGGCATCTTTTAAAACCCTGATCCCTGCACCAGTGGAAAGAGCCGTATTGACTTTTCTGTGGCTCTGAAGTTCTACATTCTGAGCTTGGTACCTTAAAAAGTCTGCAAACAAATCTCAGATGCTTAACTGAAAAGTCTGTGCTGAAAACTTGGTGAATGAGGACTGGAAGACATGGAGGATCAATCAACTAAGCAGCATCCAACAGTCAGGGCCCCTGAGTGTTTGGGAAAGGCTTTTAAAACTGTGCCCAACTTGTCCCCTAGCTTGAATGACTAACTTTGGGCTGTATGCTTTGCCACCAGGAGCATTAAATACTTGCTTTCAGGAGACTGTTAATGGGGGATATTTTCACAGGCACAGGGTAAATTTGCTCACACTCATTCCCCCTGATGAAAATTTCCAGCTGTCTGGCTTTCAGCTGAGTTTGTACAGCATTAGCGATCGTCAAAATATATGTAGAGAGGCACAGGCGGGAAATTAGTTCAGGCCGTCAAATGTTCAGTGACTAATGGACAAACACGGGCATAGTCAGTCAAAGCTTCGCATGTACCCCTCTGAGGCTGTTTACCTGAGCTGGGTAGTCAAAAAGCCACTGCTCTCTGGGTTTCTCCTCGTAAGCTGTCACCGCCTCTGACATCTCATGGCGAACTGTGGACCGCATGGTTTCCAGAACCCGGTTCAGCCACATCTCCACCTTAAAAACAAACCACGGAAAAACAAAAAAAGAGACAGGCCCATAAAATACAAATAAAAACACTGTAAAAATCTGTCACACGTGCTCTCTTATCAGTACACCCTAATGAGGTCATTAATAAGCATTCAAGTGGAAGTGGAGTCAGGCAAATACTGTGGCATGTAATGGAATATTAATGGATTAATGGGTTCTGATGTGCAAAACCCCAGGGGGAAAGATGTAGTCAATCTCATTTGTCTGCTTCATCCCGAGCTGTGATAGCTTTTTCTGATAGCTATATATTGCACCTGTTATTTTCATCAGAAAAAAGATGGCAGGACAGTAAATTTTCATATTACAATTTTCCTCAAATAGCTCTGTGTCTGCAGCTTAATGAGGACAGGAGGCAAAAAATGTCCCCTAGCAATTTAGAAATGATGGCCCCACAAATTTAGAGGCATGAATTAAAGATAAAAGGTGCGTTTTACCTGTCCAGTGCAGTCACAGGACTGATTAAAGGGGACATACTCTTCCTCTTTGCTGTACATGCCCACACCGGTCTTGGGATTTCCTCCTTCATCAGCCTCAAATCGCATCTTAGCCATGTTGTCAAACAGCTTAGACAGATGCTTCTGGACCTGAACACACACACAGGAACACTCAGCTCAGGCTGAATATATGCTTGGCTCTGGGTCTGAATGATATTTTCTTTTTCATTACTCATATAAATAACGCTTCAGTGCTGTGTAACAGATTTGTAAATAGAAGGCCAGGGCTCTTCCTCTGCATGCTCGCTTATTTCCACCAGTAGCACATTCTTATCAGTTTTTTCTTTGAGGTGGAAATGCAAAAGACAATGTCCAGATGATGGAAGGGAGAGCTGTATGCAAAAGTGTGCAGGAACACTGCCCCTTGGTGGGCGCTACAGGCACCACAAAGAGTCCAACACATTGTACTTTCAGTTAAAGGGGGCAATTAAACACAGTTTTTTTTAAAAAACTGAAAGCTGCAAAAGACTGAGAAATTAAAGTCATTGCTTCCCCTCAAGCAACGTGTAGTGAAAACACCTGCTGTGGGTTGGTCCCATTTGACAGAATGTCCAGCAAATCAGCTGAGGAGATGAAGTAAAATCTCGGGAAGGCCAACCGCTTGGTGTCCAGGTACTCTGCCAGAGCTTTTTCACACAGAGAGAGCCTGCAGGAAAAAATACACAAGGTAGGTTCTCGCAGAGTGAAAGTCTTTTGACATTCACATGTAACCCGGGCGCAGTTTATAGTGTTCTCATTTCACCTGTTCTGGATGTCCTCCAGTTTACCAAACAGGCATGGTTTGTTGGTGGCCTCCACTACGTTTGGTGTTTGATGCATGGCGTTTGCCAGCTCTTTGAAATCAGCATCAATCCCCTCAAAGCGCCTGGAATCCTGCAAAGGATTTCACAAGGAAAGAAAGCCGGGGATTTGAAGTTCCCACAAGAGAAGAGGGTGGGAAAGTCCAAAGTTTAATAGGAGACATCTGGACTTAAGCAAAGGCTGAACATTACGAGAGCAAATAAATAGCCGTGTCATTAAAGCTTCTAAACGAGGGGTATAGGTCAGTTAATGAATCCTTAATTAACAGCTCTAACAGTCATGCTATCTGGGCTTTTACGGCAAGGACAAAGCCCTGTATGCATATGAGCTTAACACTTATGCATGCAATAAATACGGGACAGTAATAGAGCTAGAACGAGCGCACAGATCTCATTGTATCGGGTGTGTGACCTCGGGCAGCTGTGAGCGGATGTCCTCTGAGCCGATGAAGATGCTTTCCAGGTGGGTCCATGTCCGCTGAACCTCAAACCAGATGGAGATGACCGAGTCTGCCACAGACAGCTTGCTCTGCCATAAAGACACTTCATCCAGGAAGTGTGCAATGTGCTTGGATGACATGAGGTTCTGCAGCTGAACCTGGTTATCCTCCAGCGTCTCAATCAGCTCTTCATCTGTGCGGAGCAAGGGAACCCGGGTCCTGTGGTGGGGCTCATACTGGAACCTCATACCTGGGCAGCGGGAAAACATCGTTAGGTTCTCGTGATCAGAGCGTGATTCAAACCGAGCGGCGGCGTCCTCGACCTGTCCACGTGGAGTTGAGCTCGGACAGGACTTTCTCCATGGCCATCTCTTTGGCAGCTTTGTCCACGATGCCTCTCACTTCCTCTTCGAAGCAGTGCAGATTGAGCTTCAGCAGATCTGCCAGAGTGGTGTCCTGCTCAAACCAGACATTTCAAAACTGTTTGGCTGGTTTCACAGCAGATTTGCCACAATATACCAGTATAGACTGTACGTAGGATGTATATTAATATCAGGAGTGATCTTTATTCTAACTTTCACACTCTTGTTTCATCTCAGGATATGTTTATCTAAAGACATTCTTTTTGGATCTGAAACTATTCATAGTTATATTTACTTAAATAATATTTTTATATTTTGGATATCGGTTCCAGCCTTGTGTTAAGAAAAAGTCATAGAATGTTTGCATGCAAAAACATTATTGGAGTGTGGAAAAATCTGATTCTGAAGAACTGGCTCTGTCTTTTTTCAAAGTTATGATGTCTTACTCAGAGAAAACATTAACCTACATGTGTTATTCAGAAACAAAACTCTAACCCTAACCCTAACTCTTAAAAAACAAAGAGTCCTAACTGATTAATCTGCATCTACAAAATAAAGGCAGTAATCTCATTTCTTTAACACATTCAAAGGGGGGGGGGGGGGGGGGGGGGGCAATGATTTCAAAAGGTTTCATTATATAAAAGTATCTGATTCTAGAAGAGTCTACTGACTCATTTTTGACAGACTGGGGGTATCAGGTATTAATACGATAAGAGTATCCACCAATTCCTGATCTAAGAATCATTAAAAGGTTTTAAAAAGATATTTCAAGATTCTGGGACTTCTCCAAGCTGTACTACCCCTTCTCCTGCCCAATGACAGCTGGGATAGGCTACCATTGGGTTATGGAGCCCCCTTTATATCAGCTTAAGGGCAACACATTTCAGATTTGTTTACATTTTGTCAACATAACTTAATTGGTCAGTGAAAACACTCGTCTTTTAAATTGCATGTTCCTTCTCCTGCCACTTTTACTTTACTGGCAGAGCACAAGTGTAAAATGTTGTCATTAAATTACACTGATAAGATGAATAAATTCAACTAATCTAAATCTGCACTCATGTTGATTATGTGTCAGAATAAAGCAAAGACCTGGTCCATGGTGAAGCAGACTCCGGTGGCATTCATTAGTTGGTGCCAGTGTCTGGTTCGAATGGCTGGGTTTTGGAGCTCGGCCACAGCCCGGAGCGAGGTGAGGATGTTCTTCACCCTGCTGTCCAGACCTGTGAAGGCCTCCCATGCTCTAACCTTTCACACAAAGTCAGAAATCAGCACAGGGAATTTGACAAAAGCGTAGAAGCTGTAAGCAGTATCGTCACATTTAATTTGAGATTCAAGAAAACTGACTAATTTGACGTTAATGCTGCTGTATAAATTTAATGCTTCCCTGTAGCCACGTTCAAGATGGAAACAGCTCACTTCTTAAGCAAGGCACTTAACTCCTAAATTGGTCATGGTTCTGACCATATTTTTACTGCTCCTGCCTAATAAGCTTTACGCTCCAAAAGAAATCCATAAGAGATTTGAATAAAGGACTAGAGTGACAAAATGAAGGACTAAAACTGGGAAACCAAAGACTGTTTACCATAAAAAGGGAGTCTATAATTTTCTTGAAGCGGTTTCACACATGCATTAAACAAAGAGGGAATCTTTTCTTCCACATTCTTTGCCTTTTGTCCGCACACCTGGAGCTACTCGTGGATGTCTGCCATCTGGGTAGACGCGCGATTGAAATCTCAGAGATCTGTTTGCGGCATAACAATCGTGGTGATACAGAAGACACGTGTCAGCAGAGAGGTGAAGCTGCAACGGTTGGGAGCTCATTGTTAATGTGCGCCAGCAACCCCACCGTTGCAGGACCGGGCATTCAAATGCAAACGCTGCTGACCTCCTGTCAGCCAGCGGAGGAGTGGAGTTTTCCCCATGGCCGTTGAGTTTTCAAATAATTCAGCGATATTATCTCTCCCTAACAATAACAAAGATCCTTCAGCCCTGACCGAAACAGAAATGACATCACGCGGTGCTTTGTGTGGAATTGAAAATAGGTGTTATCAGATGCCCCGCTCACCTCTTTGTCCAGCATCCGAATGTCTTTAGAAAAGCGTTTGCACTCCAGTTCCATGTCCTCCACATTGATCTTTCTCCAAGGAGTGGTCCTCCACGCTGACATGCTGGATTCTACCAACATGATCATATCCCACAGCTCTTTTAGTAGGCCCACTTCACGCCTGGGGATCCCAGTGTCAGCAGAGGGTAGCATGTAAATCAAACAAAAACAATAACAGCTCATTGGGTTCATGGAACTGGAGGGGTGTCTTTTTCTTCACTGTGGGTTCAGGCTTTACCTGCACTGTCGGAGCTGTTTGTATTCTGAGATAGTGACCTCAAACAGGTTTGCGGACTCCAACAGGGAGGCCATAACTGCCTCCCTTTCCCTGATCTGCCGGTGGAACTTGTCCAACACCTGGTAGGGGCTCTTGCTGTCAAACCTGGATACGCGAGCACACACAGGCACCCATCAAAAACACATATTTGCACAGGCTTGGTAAAAATCAGGATGGGTTCAGATAATGAGATGTAGAAATTTTGCCAAACTCCTCTTGGCTGCAACATGCGCCGGTCCAGAGTCTGCCGAGCTCATTCCACATACTGAGCCAATTAACAATAACTTCCATGACATTAATGGGAAAATAATCACCAGGTTATTAAGAGACCAATTACACACATAACTAATCTGACAATTAGACATTATGACAAAGCATCTCTCCCTATGAATTAATTATCATTATGTGAAGATTCACTTAGCCTTGCTGGGTGTAATAGCCTCAGGATAACAATTCACTGTTATCATGTGATGAGACAAGAAAAGGTGACATTCTTATCTTACCAAAGGTTCTCACTGAGCAGAAGATAAACAGCAAATGTTATTGCTCTCACTAACTAACCTCATCCACATTCACCAAGCACCCCCCTTATCAAGCTTGTCATACAGTGTTTACATTTACAACCTTGATAACACGCAGAACTCATTTAAAAAGGGGAATCGTTTACAGAACAGTGAGCAGAATATTCTTGAGATAGAAAACAAAATTGGTCTTATTTCTGTGATTTACTGCGAGCAGCTGTCTGCCGCTTTACGTCGGTTACTCATAAAAAGCGTTTCCAGTCTAGCGCGATTGATTGCCGTGTTCTACCTGAAGGGCCCATCGGTGCAGAAGTGTTCCCTAAAACTGTGTTGCTCGGCCTCGAATGAAGAGCACTTTCGGCGTAGGCGCGCCACCTCTGTGGCCTGCAGAGGAGCCACCTGCTGCTTGACTAACATCGCCTGCTTTTTCACATTGGTCCATTTCTCTGGAAGCTCCTGGTGGTGGACGGACACAAAGTAAGAAGAAGAGATTACTCTTAGTTAGTGAAAGACATGAATGACCGGCAAGTGAAAGAATGTGAACGGACCGAACATCCGTTCTTACCGCTAACTGTTTGTGAACCACTTCGGGGAGATCTTGGTCATACTCTTTTAGCAGGGCAATGGTTTGTTTCAGAGGCTCAAACATGGTGTCGGTTGTGTTTTGTCTTTCCTTAATAGCCAACAAATGACCGATGACCTGGACCAGACCACTGTAGTCACCTTCCTCCACCTGCTGGCCAATCCCAGCTTCAGTTCTAATGACGAAGTTCTCCAGATCTGACAGACTGGTGATAGAAAAATATTATTGTTTATTATTAAATTATTCTGAAAACCACTCACTATTTTTCATGTATCATAGATTTACCAGTCAGTCCATCTAATCAGCCTAGTTATGAAAAACGTATCACTATCTTTTCCACGAATTTCAATCACCTCTTCAAATCAAGAGGCCAAAATTCTTTTATTCAATCAACTCATGTTTTAATATTTTAATATCTGTTTCATGCGCTATCCTATTCATTGTTGTACACCTACACGAGGAACAATAATTCAGTCCATTCGCTCTGGACTTAAATATAAATCAATTGTACAATCAATATTATTTCCTGTGGCACTACTGCACACAAAGCAGTAGTGTGCAAAGGTTTTTAAAGGTTTTTCTAAGAAAAAGAGAAATATTGTGTTGGTTTTGCCTCTGAAAAGTAGGTTGGCTCTTTATAGCTGATCTTTTTTTCTATTAACCTTTTGTAAAAATTGTGATTCTTTTGCCTGAGAATCCATGCCATACCTGTTAGTTACCAGATCTATGAGGTGCTGTTTAAACATGAGGCTCCATTTTTTGATGATATTGAGCAGTGCCCGCTTCATGCTACGACCATCCACCCTCATCCATCCATGGAACACATGAACAACTTCAAGACTCTGAACCTCCTCATGGAGCTTCTCGTAACTGTGTGACGAAGAAAAGAAAAGGCTGATGTTCATAATGTGCGTCTGAATCAATACTTAAAATCTCCCGCATAAAGAGGAAGCCAGAGTTAATATCGTTATCCAATCAATGTGAAAATAAAATGAAATAAAGATTTTAAAAAAGCCCATACAGTCCTACTTACATATCCACCTGTGCTCTGAAATCATCCAGAGTCGGTTGACTCTCTGGGTTCCTCTTATCAATGTCATCCTCGAAGTCAGGGTTGGTCGAAATGTGACCAGATAAAAGAAACCGACGCATGAACTCCTTCCTGTTGTCCACGTACAGGTAGCTGTAACGCTCCAAAGAGTTCCGAAAGTCACAGCACGCCGCCATGGCGCTCAGCACACGCTCCATGAGTTGGTTACGCATGTCTGCCAGGTCAGCCATGTCCTCCATGTCAGCCTGAGGAGGGGAAGAAGTCAAACGCCACGTTAAAAAGGGGTGAGACGCATGTTCCGGTACCACTGTTACATCAAAGCGCTTGTACCTGGTAGTGGGGGAACGGGCTGTGCTTGGCAAGCCGGGGCACCAGCGAGGCCATTTTGAACACGTCACTGATGAGACTCTCCACTATCTCGAAGAAACTGTCTCGAGCACCAAACTCCAGCGAGGGAGTGAAGACCATGTCAGGAACCCTCAGATCCAGCTGAGCCTCAAACAGAGGGACCACCACAGCTCTCTGGTCTTTGTAAGAAAAAGGAAAGAGTGGGAGATGTCAGGCATAACTTCAAATCTTTCATAATTTCTCTTATTTCCTTGTAAAAGGTGTAATTATCCATTTGCTTTTTAATGAATCATCTCTGTCTAAAAGGCTTCCCCAATTACTTCACAGTCACATTGTATCAATATCAAAGTGGACAAATTAAACTGCTACATAGTTTTTGCTATTTTTTTTGTTTTTCTAACCCTAACCCCAACCCTTTTCATTAGTTTGGTGAGCAAAATAATGTCTCAGGTTATTTATTTCATACATGTCCTGGTGTCATTTAGTTGGATTAAAGTTAGAAGAGACCAACTTCCATCATTCTACACTTTCAGTTCCATCGATGTGAGTATAGTTGAATCTTTAAGATGGAAAAAGGAGCCTATGCCGTGTCTCTTTGTGGTTATTTGACTAAAGATGAAAGATTTTTCAACAAATTACAAATACAAATTAATAAATTTCAATAAAACAAGATGTTTAAGATTATATATGATTTTTTTATATAACCTCAAAGACTTCTACTTAATCATTTTTTAATGACAACATATTAAAAAATGATTAAGTAGAAGTGACTTGATAAGGGGGAAAAAAGGTTGGAAAAAGCAGCAGTTTGGAAACGATCCATCTCATTTTGAACCTCATCCCATTCCATCTAAACTGGTTGACAAAACTCAAGCCAACAAGCAAGTACACAAGTTATCTACATCCACACTACAGCCCACAGAGGAGGACACCCAATTGACATCAAAAGCCCGGAGGACGTGATGTTAAGGAGCTCTCCAAGTTCGTGCTGGCTGATGGAGGCTGAAGCATCTGAGTCATGAGTGGCTCTGAATATTTCCATGGTAATATTGTTCAGGCTTTGAGAAAAGCATCAAAACGACTAAAAAACCTATCAAATGAAAGTCTCTCTTTTGGAGAACTGTGTTGTTTGGTCTTCACCAGCCTACCAGTGTTGTCCAAGAAAAACTTGAGAGCGCACTCGATGCAGTTGAAGAAACCGTCAACAACCATGTCGTCTATGTACTCCACGTAGGCCTTCCACTCCTCAGAGGACGGCTCAGCTCGGAAAAGCTCCCGATTGCTCTACAGAAACATCACACAGACATTACATTAAACGCCAACCAGATTTTCAAATGACAACTAAATGTGTTTCAAGGCCAAACATAAATTCTGACTTCAAATAATCTGATAACAAAGTCAATCTGCTCAGTCAGTGTCACACATCTTAAAAAATCCCTTGGAGAGCACCTCGAGAAGGAAGTGGATCTTTTCTCCGGAGGATTGTATCCGACTGTAAAATTTAGCAATCCTCTCCGTCCTGTCCTCCAGGCCGAGCAGCGCGTCTTTTTTCCCCTCTTTCCTGTCAAACAATGGGTTGGCCCACGACCTCATGCAGTCCTGGATTTGTTCCACGTTGTCTTTGGTCCTCTGGAGTCGGCTCTCCAGGTCGCACACAGAGTCACGCAAGTCTTGGATGTACAGCCAAACACCTGAAAAGGATTGGGTGCTTGAGAGCTCGAACATTGCAAAATACATCGATCACCCTGTTTGTGGGAAATATCTTAAATCAGTGAAAATGCGTTATCAAGGAAGAGAACTATGAAAAGTTGCTCCAGACTGTGTGTTCTTTGATTCTTTTGGGATTTTTAGAGATTTTTTCTGTGAGATTAACAGTGGTAGGGGGAGCACTGTTTGAATTTCTTTGTCCATGTTTAATTACCATACCTATTAAGTTTTGGTGTGAAGAATGTTTTCACATGCAAACGATTAATTCAATGAGTGTTTGACTCGTTTCATGGCTAAATATTTGAATAGAATTCACACTTGCGCAGAACATAACTAATTTCATGATTACTTTAACTGATGACTCCTGTGCAATGACTAATAATCTGCAGAAAAGAATACGTATGTACAGAGCCTTTCCAAAGGCTCTGTACATACGTATAGGCTCATTTGTTTGTTACATAATTTGTCAAATTTTATAATAATAATTTGTAAAATCCACGAAAACAGGAACTAAGAAAATAAAGCTGAATATTGTGAAGAAATCAGCCCAGATTTTGCAGGACATGAATGTTTTAAACAGAGTTTTACACACTAATCATCTACTAAAGTCAAAGCATCCTCACAGCTATCATTAAATTGCTTCAGTTTGGTTCAACATGGGGAAGACCGAAGACAACTGGCCAGAAATTGATACCCTCCACAGGATGGCCACAAAGGTTCATAGCTAAGAAGGCTGGCTGTGGAAGGGCAAAATGTGGCAGGAGAAGATGCACCAGCAAAAGAGTGGCTTCAGCAGAATATCAAACAGAGCAAATTCAAGAATGTGAAAGAGATCCACAAAGAGTCAAGTCACTTCTGAACTTTAGCCAACAAAGAAAGCATCTCAACTTGGCCCAGGAGAAGTACTGAACTGTTGACCAGTGGTCCAAGGTCCTCTTTTCCGATGAAAGTAAAAAGTGCCTCTCAAGGACGGGTGTGAAACAGAACCCAAGCTCATGATTGTATGGATATGCAGATTTAATTTTCCAGCAGGACCTGCCCCCTGCCCATACCACCAGAGGCACCAAAACCTGGAGCAAAACATGTAACAATAAACAAATACTTGAAATAGTTTAAATTGAGGGCCCTAAATCTATAATCTATGATTTTTTTTTATATGGAAATCTGTCCTTCTGTCATTAGTCATCCATCAGTCTCCTGTGTTGTTTCCCATATTCACAACTGACTTCACGTTCACTTCCTTATTATCACCCAAGCTTGCCTTATGGCTTTTGTTTCTCTTTTATTAGCAAAAGCTAGGTTAATTCCAAAGTCGCCAGCATTTCTCCTCCATGCACCACAACAATGTATCCTCTTTACTGTACTGAGAACTTAACATCTTAACATCCTGTAAATATTTTCTCTGTAACTGACAGTTTGGAACCTAAGGATTTTCTCTGTGAGGAAACTTCACGCAGAGTTTTACCATTCTTTTATGTATTTTATTCAAATAAACGTGCTTTCTTGAGTATAGAAACACACAATTCCAATTATGGTTTGTTTTAGGCCCATTTTGCATTGTAGTTTTAATAGGCAAAATCATTTCATGATTGGATTTTTACAGTTTGATTAAGTTTGATTAAATGTAATAATTTCCTCAGAATGGCCACACAGAATTTTGAATATGACGACTAACTTCAAATGAATGATTACTTTTCCCACCTCTGATATAAACATGGACATGCTGTGCCTGTTCCCTGAATCAGTCTATACAGTGAACCAAATACACCAAATACATCATGGAGCTGCTGTACATCATGGAGCTGCTGTATGTTCTGCACAGGGACTGTGAGATTGTCCCCACTGACACCCGAGTGTATTGGCTTGTACCATAAACACTCCTCTCATTTCTGTTCGGCTCCTCTGGGAATCGTGGAGTCAAAGAATGCAGCGACTCACAGTGAAGCTGTCTGTCAGTCAAAGCTTACCACTGATTGAACACCTCCTCTATTCTTCTTTTACGTGTTTTTCAAAAAGCAAAGCCTCCCTGTTCCCGTTACATGCACACAGACATGCAAAAACAGACACACAGACACACGCACGCAAGTGGGTTTTAAATTTGCTCTTCTAAACAAAAAAGTTTCTTCTTCTTTTTTTCACATCCAAAATCTTTGGTAAATACAAAGTGCCTTTACTCTTCTGGGCAACAGCTCTACAAAGGCAGGTGAAGTCAAGAGAATCTGATTGAACAACCACAAACTTTCCACAGTTCTCAATCTCTGGGACTTCACATTCAACGTAAAAGTTGAAGAGAAGATGACACAGAGATTAATTCAAAATCCACTTAGTGACGGAATAAAAACTTGTAGTCAATTAAAAGTCTCCTGCAGTTATGGTGGCCAACACGGCAACATAATAATGGCAGAAAATATATGACCAAGATATAGTTATAATAAAATAAAAACAAGTTATTTTCCTTTTTGCTACCCATTTAGCAGCCCTTTGATTATAATGATCATTTAATGACTAAAAAATAGTTTCTATAGACTGGGAAAATGTATACTTTTTAAAGAGCTAAGGTTTTAACACCACCCACAAACCCTCTCTTCCCCCTGACAGCACATTGCGGCTATACATGAAATAAAATGATTATCTCACGATGAAAAAAACCCGACTACTGAAAACAAGGCATTTGAATGTGTCATTCCTAAGAGGCAATAACTGTTACTTATCAATGGAGGACAGACCATGGCTGTTCCAGTTCAGACTCTCCTCGGCTTGTTTGAGCTGAGTATCAGCGTCCCTCAGCTGGCCCTGAATCAGAGGATGCTCCACGTCGAGCACACAGTGCATCACCTGCAGCCACACAGTTACGGAGGACAAAAAAAAAAACAGGAGAAAGGACTCCAATTAAATGTGACCAGAAATATCACTTTAATATCCGCACCAGTAGAATAACACAGCTACTCAGAGGCCTAAAGCACCAACACAAGGAGCTGTTTTCAACAGTGTCAAAACATCAGCTTTTTCCCACATTGCCCTCGCCACTGACTTAATTGGATTCATCCTTTTGCCACTCGGCACAGTGAAATGCTGAAATTTCTAAATGTAAAATCACCCTAAGATATAATATGTTTGGCTGAACACAATGGGGGTTAGTGCCTGTAAATTCACAGCAGCAGTGGTTACTCACGTATTGTTAAATGTTACATAATGAAAACTACTATTTCACCCTGGACAGTTACCATTCAGACCATTACCATACATACATTTTCTATAGTGCTTATTAGTAGGGTCGCTGAGGGGCTTGGGGCTGGGACAAGAGGCAGGGTACACCCTGGACAGGTCATCAGTCCATCCCTGGGCCACGCCGTCTATTGATCCATTCTCACTCCCACAGATAATCCAAAATTAAGGTAATTTCAGCCTCCACTTTACCTTACTTACATGTTTTTTGGACTGTGGGAGGAAGCCAGAGTACCTGGAGAGAAGCCATGCGTACATGGGGAAGATCTAACTCTGCATAGGGGGAAAGGTCCTCACCTCGAACTCCATCTTTATGTATGAGACTGTACCTCTCTGAGGCGCACTTTTTCTCCTCAGGCATCTGAGTAGAATTCTAAACATTTTTTCACAGTTCTGCCGAAAATGTGGCTAAGCTGATCAAACAAGCCGTGTAGCTGAAAAACATTTTGCGCGAGCTTAACCTACCTTGTTGTACCGGACGGCAATGAGCTCCAGGTTGGCCACGTACTGCCACAGCTGCTCCCTGGTGGTGTAGATCTGCACAGCAGCCTCTGGTATGCACTCAGTCTGCCCTGCCTCCAAATACTTCACCTCCCTGAGTACTGAAGTTAGCTATGAAGAAGTTGAATAGTGTTTACAGACATGGTAACAAAGTTCAAGACCAATTGCTCTGTATATTCTTGGCCATTTAGATCTGCCTACCTATATTTGTATATATATCCATAGCACCCCCTGATCTAAAGAACACACATTCATCTTAAATATTTGCTTAAGACAATTCAGAAATCCCTAAATCTTCCTCCCTCTTATCCTGAACAAAAGGACTACAAGCAGTGACATATTGAGCATATTCATTACTTTTCCCTCGCCTGTGGGCTTAATGTACAAACCTGCCGGTTGAAGTTGACTGAGATCAGCTGAGTGCCCGGATCTCTGCTGATTAATGGCAAACTGAGGTTGTACTGAGAGCACTCGCCCACAGTCTCTGCCCATGTCTTATACAAGCTGGCGGAGTATCTGGAATACCAAACAAGGAGCATATAATCCTACGGTCACAATCAAGCAAAAACTTTCATCTGAGAAATACAGATTGTACCTTTACCTCCAACACTGTTTTATTTTGCCATTAAAGGGGCAGGGTTTTATTTTTTTTATTACAAAAAAAAAGTATTTTATAGAGCCACAGGCACGGAAACTGCTGGCATCAAGGAAATTAACATAAGCAACAAAACAAGCAGCTAAAAGGCGTGTGATTGAGGCATTTTCCCAATCCTCGGAGGTTGTAAACAGAATGAGAGGCGTGATTTGCTTGTCCGTATCAAGCAAACAATAAGGGCATGGGGAGCAGAGCGAAGGAGCGCTGGATGCAGGCGTGGGGGGTAATATGAGGATAAATGCTGATTCATCTGCAAAAAGCAGTAAACAGACAAGATGTCAGGGCTCTGTACAGCTATATCAAGCTGTAAATAGCCACAATTATGATGAGAACTTCAGTGCGCACTGTGCGCTCCTTATTGAATTTCTGCTGTGAGCTTCATTTCCTGATAGTGGCACAGCAGACGCAGAGGCAATCAAATGCCTCGGTCACAGCCATAAATCATGCTGCATTTTGTCTGTGGAGGTAATGAGAGAGGATGCCCATCCTGCTCCTGACTGGAATACGTGTAATAATAGTGGCATTCATCGGAGGCAACTGAGATGATTATGACTGCGTAACAAGGACTTTAATTTCTGACGGGAGTAAATTGGGGGCAAAGAACTGGTGTTGTTCATCACCCCATTCCTCTGGCTGGGGAGACGCTGAAGTGGAAGACTGGTATTAAGTCTGTAAAGCGGAACGAACAGGGACTGTATAAGCATGTCTGAATCACATCACAGCATAATACATTATGCATTCACTCTAACAATCACAAGAACTTTGACTATACCAAGACAATCTATGTTTCTTTGGCTTTTTCTGCAAAACATTGTTATCAATATCGAAAACGTAGACAGAATCTTTGTCATAATTGCTGAAAAAGCTAAAGTTAACCCTTGTGTCTTCTTTGTCATGAAAACGAAACGGCAGCATGTTTGAATGTTGACTAATTTAATGTCTGATGATCCCACACTGCTTCAGTAACATCAAGGGAGGATTTATCCCTTGCCATATGACCTGTTCCCACTGATTTTCTTTCCACTTCCTGGATAATTGTGCAAGCCTCAGTCTTCCCTAAAGGTATAATTGCATACCACACAGGGATATACCAAGGTCAGGGTTTCAGGGGTGGCTCTGTAGGGTCCAAATTACCATTTAAAATCTTTATCGTTGGTATTTTTCATAGGTAAAATCAGAACAAATTATGTTGCTTCTGTATTTACATTTAAAACAAATATTAATCTTGCTACGTCTTATAAACAGTATTTATACCATTATGTATCCTTGCTGTATCTCTGATATGCTAAAATGTTCATTTTAAAATTCCTAGCACAAGAGACACAGACAGAATATGGACATGCAGTTAAACAAATACCCCGATGTCTCCATTTGCTTTTGTTGCTCAGTCAACAGTCAACTTTCTGCTAATTATACCATCTTTGTGACTTGTTATTTTTCTTTTCTTCCCAGGGAAAAAGAATACAACCGAGCTTCGCACACATGCATGCTGACATGATGTAACGTGAATATACAAACAGATAATGATGAGGTGTTAAATACGGGGTTTCCAGTCATTTATGTCCACGAGCTAGCAAGTGGAATACTGACATTCTGTTAACAGCTCACAAATTCAGTTAAATATTCATTATCATAGTGTCTTACTGCTGACATAAAATGACAATTAAAAATGTCTGAATGCCGTTAAAGAGGCTCTGTAAATAGACACAGCTCTATTGTTTTGAATTATTCTGGCTAATGAGACCTTGTTTACTTGTTACACCCACAAACACCATTTACACAGTGTATTACAATCAAGCCCTGTGACTGACTGGGGACTGTCCAGGGTGTACCCCGCCTCTCACCCACTGGCTACTGGGATAGGCTCCAGTGCCCCCCTGGGACCCCATTAGGGAATAAGCGGTTACCATAATAGATGGATGGATGGTATTACAATCCAATACCAACTAACAAATTAATCCATTTTTAATTTTTACAACTTTCACACTAAGATTAAATTAATCTACAATAGTTGCAAACTGGGTGGCATGGTGGTTAGCAACATCGCTTCACAGCTAGAGGGGTTCAAGTCCCTGGGGGAACCAGGACCTTTCTGTGGGGAGTTTGCATTTTCTTCCTGTGACTGTGTGGGTTCTATACAGTTCTCCGGCTTCCTCCCACCGTCCAAAAACCTGCATGTTAGGTTGATTGGACATTCCAAACTGCCTTTAGGAGTGAATGTGAGTGTGTCCTTGTGTGTCTCTGTGTGGCCCTGTGATGGACTGGCAGACCCTCCAGGGTGTACCCCACCTCTCGCCCATTGACTACTAGGATAGGCTCCCCATTAGGGAATAAGCAGTTACGATAACGGATGGATGGATGGTTAGTTTTAAACTAAAAAGACCATACCAACATTTACTGTTGGGATATATGGGATAACTTTTTGTTTTGACTCATGTAGCTCAGTTTGACTCCATACAAACAGCGTTAGCTTCCCTATGCGACGCTTTATCTTGCAGAGTTTTTATGTTGCATATGGTGTACAAGGCCATTTTTCACTTGGCATCAGTGAGCAGTGACAGGGCATATGGGATTATAGTAGTCCTGTGAAATAATCTGCAGAGCAGTGGCACTGTAATGAGAACATAAATCATGGCCAGAGCTGCGTGTCTACATACCATTCCACAAGGGGCTGCTTCATGAATGCTATGCACTGAACTAACAAAATCACAAATGTTCAGCTTCAAAAAACAGCACTGGCACAACATTACTGGGCAGAAAAATATTGTCATTGATAGAGCTAATATTTGTCTGCCTGTCAGACTTGTTCAATTTACAGTTTAATATTGTGATGTCCTCTTTCCTCCCGATGTACTTTCAGGCTCGCTGCTGTCTGTTCTTTTATTTGGTAACACATGATGACATATAGTGTAATAAAAGAGGTGAGATAACATCCCACATGCACACCTATCCAGCAGTTGCATCATTTCCTCATACTTCTGAGTGACCCTGACTCCATCTGCAGAATCCAGGCATCTGTAGAAAAGAAGAATGTTTTTAACCTGTGTTAGTTTATGCTCTACGTTTGTATGCAAGATGCCTACGCCTAATTTTTATTAGGCTTTTTTAAAGCACCTCGCAGAGTGATTTAATGCACAGTGAGACCAGTGGAAGAGCTCAGCCACATCAAATGTAAAATATCTGTCGAGAGACTCACGGGTGGGAGAGTTGCCTGAATTTTAAGAAGGGGGTCTGGATGCGCTGCTGCAGCTCCTGGGCCCATTTGAGTCCTCCAGCTACAGCTGGCATATTCTTATTCACTGGGGCAGAGCCTGAAGAGGTCAAACATGTGTATCGTTACAGAAAGTTACACGGGTAAAATAGTATGCAGAGTTTGGACACCGCTGGGAGGATAACAAAAACAGCAAGCATTCATAAAGAGTTTGGCCTGTTTTCAAAAGTTTATATACGGGCAATATCTATTTCATCTATTAAAAATGGTATCAGGCCTGTAACTAAAAGAAAACTTGACGTACTTGGCAATCCCACTGTGAATCACACATGGCTACCAGCCCCTCGATCCATTATTCACTTTTCTTATTATTTTCTTATTCCTATTCTATTCTTATTCTATTTTTAATATTGAGTGCCAGCTGTGAGACATTTGAGCTACTGTTTTCATCATCTGCAAATGCATTGTCCATCAAATTAAAGTCAGAGGGCCAGTAAAAAGGCATTCATTTAAGCATATCTTCTGATGTGTTTCTTTTGCTGCTTAAGGCCGCACAGAAAATAACACATAAAAGACAAAACTCTGCTCAGTCCCGACAAACTATCAGGTATATGGTACAAGGAGTATTGTGCACATCCCAACCCCGCTGGATTCTTTTCTCCCTACACAAATAAAATGAGGTTGAGTAGAAGCCCTGGATGTTGAGTAAAGAATATAATCTATTAAGGTTAACAGTATTCCTAAATTTATGATTAGAGTCTGTTTAAGTGGTTTAAATAGACCATTTGTCAGAAGAAAGATGGGATTATCTACTGTCGCATTTATTATGTATAGAAAATGGATGGCTGGATTGATAAAGAGTGCATGAAGAAGGCTGATGTAAAAAGGCACACATAGTTGGACTATTGGTGTGTGTGTGTGGGGGGGGGCTCTCAAAGTCAGCAGATTTTCCAAAGATCGTACTTCTTTTAATTAATAAGTTATAAAATACAGACCATTCAAAGTTTAAACCCTGTAACAACTTCCAATGTCCTTCAAGCGTTTTAATGATCTCACTGTTCAGTGAGCTTAAACCTAATTCTTTAAGTATTATTCCAAACAATTTTTGGACTGGAAAGCTGGCAGAAAGAGGTGCGACAAAAAAAACCCCTCTGAGCTAGACATAAAGGGCTAGTTCACTGAAACATCTTCACTTTTATTAGTGTTGAATCAATTAATTGTCCCAGATAAATGACCCCCATAAACAGAATTTTTTCCGCAATTGTTCCGAATCTCACCCAGCTCCCGTAGAGCCTGCATGTGTTTGTTGTAGACAAGTTTGCAGGAATCTAGCTCTTTCTCAAACATGGACAAAAGTAGCGGGTATCTGCGCAGGGCGTCTGCAGCGACCAGTGGGCGCTCCAGCAGACTGCCAAACATATCCAGAACCTGCACACATCAGAGAGATCAAGGGGTTTTACATCTTTGCGTGACTGTGCGCCTGTCTATTTTAAAGTTTTTTTTTATTAATGCGAGTGGGAAAGATTATGGTCCCGGACCTTAAAGGTGTGCTCCAGTCCTGGGGCGTCATCAAAAGCCTGGCAAAATACAGCTCCCAGCCTCCGGTCTGTGTCGTTCACCTTCAGTTCGAACTCCCTCACATCTTCTTCAAACTCCTGCAGGGCAGATAGCTCAGCGCGACCGACAGCCAACATAGCCACACCATTTTGCAAGCTGACGCAAAGTCAGCACAGCGTATTCCTTTTCACATCTCGCTGGCTCAAAACTTCTCAGCCGAGAACAGTGACTGTTTCTTACAAGAGAAGTAAATTGCTTTTCCCGGCTGTAACTTGGAAACATCTTGGTTAGGCTGCTACATGGCACTCAAAAGAAACTGTAGTCGGAGAAAAAAAACAATTTGCTCCGCAAAAGCAGTGGACAGGCAGCTTTGGGGTTTGCCAGTCGTCTTCACCCTTTTATTTATTAAAAACCTTTTGGAAAATTAACTGATGCTAAATATTTTCCAGCCACTAAATGAGCAGAACTCTAAAATACAGAAGAAAACAATACTTACTATGTTGCTGATGTCCAAACAATCGTAGGGCTTCTCAATAAAGGACTTATATGTGTCCAAAAACTCTTGGTAAAGGAGCTGGACCCGCTGATTGAGTGCTCGGCCTTGGATTCCTCCAATCTCCAGTTTCTCGAGCTTCAACAGGTCCACGGCTGTTGACAGGATGGCCTGTATGAGGCAGCAGGTGATCAGACTCAATTTCAGCATCCCCAGAAGAAATGATTATCTCTTTAAAATCCAGAAGCTTTCATGAGAAGCTGCTTTACTTAACTTCCACACTCACCTTGATGGTTTTCAGCCTTTTAAGAAATCGATCGAATCCAGAGAAAACCAAGAGTGGGGAAAAGTCCCACGGCTTCACCAGGCTCCCGTTCCTCTGGTACTGCCTCAGATTGGCCCTGCGATCTCCGTAGGCGTTCCTGAACAGCTGCAGGACATCCAGGCCCGTCTGCACCCTGAGCAGACTCTCGGACAGCTCTCCTCTCAAAACTTCCTCTGGAAGGAGATACGCCTGGGCCTGGTTGTCACAAGGCAGCAAGAAATAAGATTTAACCGATGCCACTTGTCGATAAATATTTTGACAGCATGTCAATGAGAGTGAATTAGGTTTATGTTGCACTGTTGTATTGAGCTAAAAACAATTGGAAAAATAAAATACGGTAGAACTACCTTAACACTATATTGATTGGGTGAGCCTGCGACCAACCTGTGCTTGTAAACTGATCTGTTCGTACTTTAATTTCACACTGAATAAAAGAGCTCGTATACTGTTTATTCCCAACGCGGAGGGGGCTAGAGCCTATTCCAGCTGACAGCGGGCGAGAGGCGGGGTCCACCCTGGACAGATCACCAGTCCATCTCAGGGCCACACAACAACACACACTCATAGAGGCAATTTGGAGAGTCCAGTTGACCTAACATGCATTGTTTTGGATGGTGGAAGCCGGAGTACCTGGAGAGAAACTCCACACACAAACGTTTCGGTTCCCACTGGGACTCAAACCGGGAACCCTCTTGCTGAGAGGCGACATTTCTAACCACCATACCACTACTTTATACTTTTTTCCCCCCCTTATTCCTTTCATAGTCTTAAGCAATATTTCATCAGGGATTCTGAGCGTCTCTTAGAGCTGCTCTTTGGACACTGGCTGCTTCTATACACATTTCAGTCTCTGTCCATGTCCATTTTTTTGAGGAATGTGTTTTTAAATCACTGCTGATCCTATGACCCTAGTTATCCATTCACATTTGCTCTGCCCCGTGCTAGTTACCTGCATATTGCATCAGTGTGGATCCATGTGCATCAGAATGTTCATGAGAATGGCTCCCAATAAATGATACGGGACAAATGTAATGAGCCTGACCCAAAATGAAGGATACCTCTGTCCTTTGTCATAGCTGAGAAGACTATTTGCATTTTACCACATTTGTGCAAACGAATATGGAGGTTTCATAGAACTGTATGTTTTCACTGTGAAATAATAAAAGTTAGATCAAAAATAGCGAAAAGATCTGAAGAAACTTAAGAACTGAATACATTAAATCAGATTAATCATATTAACTTATATGATTACATCATGGCATAGAAAAACTACTGTTTCGCACAAAGGCATTGGACAACTAAACTGTGAGAGCTGTGAGACACTGATTGAAAATTTTCAGGCTATGTCTCAGTGTCTGCTTCATTTGGAGAGCAGAGTTATTCAGAGTTTAAACAAGTCTTCAACTATTTGATTACATCAGAGTCTCAGTGCAAACTGGCTGCTCTGTCTGCTGCAAAGGATGCCGACTCCAAGAAGAACCAGGCCTTACTGTTGGCTTTTCTGCAAAGAATGCATGAAATGAGACTTTCATGTCTTTCATGTGGTATCACTTCTCTTATCTACCTATAAGAGGAAAACAAGGAAGCTCATTTTCTTTTGAATTATGCTCTGTTTTCACTAAACCCGATCCTTGCAGTATGCATTCATTACTTTAGGGTTCTGTGCTCAGAAAAGGTTAATTTTGCCCCAAATATTCTACAAACCAAAGCAGCTGAAAGGGTGGCCTCTAATCTGAGACGTCAACGTGCTGTGGTTCGTCACCATAGAACACAGACCAACCTCATAATAGGTTCTAATAATCGAAGGAAAAGCTGTTAAAGAGAGCCAGCAACTCCAATATGACAGTTTCCTCTGGCTCTGCCGGCTTCTTGTTTCTTTTCTTTTATTTCTTTGCTTTGAAAGATATTTTGTGGCACAGTGCCTATTTTTGACTGACATTTTGCTTCCAAAACACACAACAAAGAGGAACTGAACAATAAGAAAGCTGGTGGCATGAACAGTGAAAAGCCTCCACAACTGAGCTGACAAATAAAAAAATAAACAAAGATTTATAAAAAAAAAGGAAAAAAGAGAGTTCTACCCACTGACGGAAAAACTTCAGAAACACCAAGGAGGAACATAACAGCACCACCCACCCTCAGTGTAGTGACAGCTGATCTCTAGTAAGTGCAATTCAGAGGATTTGCACTCTGACTACGCAGCATCAAATAGGATGAAAAACATGCATGTACGCACACACACACACACAGAAAAAGAGAGACAGGGGACGCTCAGTGCGGCTGACCTGCTGTGTGAGGAGGTTACAGGTCTTCTGCAGAAGAACAACGAGGCGAGCCGGGGTGCTGTAATATCTGGAGTTGGCCCACACTAAACATATTGTATGCATCAAAGGTCTAATTTGACCTTTGACATCGGGGAACTCCGCACTCTCCATGTCCTCAAACAGCCGCTGTAGTGGCCCCAGGCAGATGCAAATGTCCTTTGCCTCTTCCAAAGCTAGCAAGTGAAGACATAATAAAAAATCGTAATATAATAATTCTTACTTTGACTCACAAAGGGCTCTAATTCATTAAAAAGAAGACATAACCTCCAACTTTTAGGATTTGATTACCTGCAAGGACGTTCCGTTGCAGGTTCCTAAAAGCTGGGAAGTAGCTGCTCTCCACAGCCTCCAACAACAGTGCCATTTTGTTCACTTTTGAAGAGCTCAACTGGGAGTGGATGCACTTCAAATCTGCATATCTTTATGAGAGGGGGGGGAAAAAAGACGGCACAAAAAGCTTTCCATCATACATGCAGAAAAAGTCAGAATTAAATCGCTCCAGCAATTTGTAAGTCCATTAGTAAGCGTTTGACTTGTAATTATTTCAAGGCTCTCACAGTTCAAGGATTTCCAGTGTCTTAAAGACTTTAACAGAGTGCAAATTTCTTGCAAATATATTAAACATTATTCATTTCAATACACAAAGATATTATGATGAGGATTGGAAAACAGTATATCAGCATTTTCTTTTCTTTTTTTAAAAGGTTAATCCATGGTAGCAGAACAAGTGCAAATCATTTAGATATATAATACATGTTTTGTCAGAAGGTGGCTAACTCACTCAGTATCTCACCATTACCACACGTTCTAGCCTTTTTTTGTCTTCCATCCAAGACGATAGTCCGGGAACACGACTATAACAACAAGACTGGACCAGATCCCGCATTCTGAAGTGCATGAGGAGATTCATTCTCTCATTGTGAGCTCTGATTTGTTTTTATTTCTCCTTGGTTATAGTCTGATCATTCTGAACTCTGCGGGTTCCCATGGGGTCTGCCTTCAGAGGAGATTGGTCCAATGATATATCCATTTACTCAGATAAGAACACAGAGTACTACCCGGGTGGCCACTAGAACAGTGTACACACACTTTGTATAGAAGAAACTGAATACTTTTGTTAACTTCGAGGAAGGATACTTTTAACTTTATAGCACATTTGTTTTTTTCTGTACTTATACCCTATTGTAAATTGTCTGTTGTTGCCAATGCTTCAGACCCATTCATTGGAATTAGATGTGTGGGAGCTGGGAGACTTGGAAAGCACAAAGGGCAGTGTGCCTTGAGGTCAAGAGCTGGGAAACACTGATGTAGATTAAGACTAAGGGTGCTACATTTAAGATACTAAATAAATGGTGGATGTGTAGAAATACTATTTTTTAGTATAACAGAGATAACTTAGACATTGCTTTATCCACCAGGAGATATTAGTCATTAATGTTAGCATTCTAATTTAGCTTGTTTCTTCTTATTGGAGTTATTTTTTGAGAAAGGGAAATTTCAAAATGTTTCAGTAAAGCATAAAGAGGTCATATATGTCCTTAAGATGTCAGGCTAATAATTTTCTAAATAGCCTAAGTCAGCCATGAAACAATTCCATCCGGATTCCAAACTCAACAACAACCCATCGGTCAGAGCTCTACTTTAAGTACTTAATCATGTCTAACTTAGTGATTCTTAAGATTTCCACTTAAGCAGTCGGATTCAATTGAAATCACACCAGAGTATTTTTGATCAAGATCACCAACAGCTCTGGAATATTTTTGGAGCTCTGCACTGCAAGACATAACAAATAGGGAGTGCCTGAAATGCACTCAAATTTAACTCGTCCAATAAACAACCAAGAAAACTAAGCTAGAACTGAGATGATAAAATCTTCTGCTGTGCTATTAATTATCTGTCAAATAGAATGGAATAGATTAGAATTGAATAGAACTTTATTCATTCCCTGTGGGAGAAATTCAAAATAGGTCATGTGTTAACTATTTATTGGCTTGACATTCACCCAGAGTGAAAATAAATGATAAATGAAGCTGATGGGTTCGCCACCCCTTGATGCCATTTTGAAGCCTCCAGTTCAGCATTTAGCTGACACTTTTATGAGGCAGATAAGACGCCATTCAGACAAGAAAGTGAAGCTGGATGGCTGATGGGACAAAAAATAATCAAATAAGTTGAATGGAATTTGTCAGATAGTGTGAATAGAGTATGTGATCCGTGAACTATTGATGAGGAAAATCGGCCACAGTGTTTTTGCCCTCCATGGCCACGATCCCATAGCTTTTCTCCTAAATGTGAGTAGAACAGATATGCAGTGTAAAATTAAAAAAATCTGTGTTTGGGATGTATAGTTGCAACAATGTGCCCTTTCACAAGCTAATTTTTTTAATACTTTCTCCCACAGATAACTAACAAGACTGAATTAGCATGAAGATGAATTAGCCTGTCATCACAGCTGGGATTTTTCTATGCCCTCCAGACCGCTTCAACCCGCATGATTCCTTTTAAAAGTACACTTTGACATCTATAAAGCAAGGCCTAAAGATGAACGGTGAGGATGTGCACACAGTGCGACCAGACAGGGGAAACGGTAGCAGTCTCCTGTCTGACGTTCTTTTAGCTCTGCTCTGCAGATTGTGAATGAGGCCCGATCCTGCATGTCTTATCACAGATATATGTCTGTTAGGCATCATTAGCAGATTTTCTTTCAACGTCAGATTGTTTTCCATGTCCATCTATATATATATATATACATATATAAATATATACACATATATATATACACACCCACTCATACTCGTTTAGGTACCGCATTCTAGGTGCAACAGTCCCATCTAAAGGTTACATTGGTTAGTATCTATTTGGAACATATACGTCTGTAAGATACTCTGTGTGTTGCAGTTGAGTTAAACTTTGTGATAATTCTGCCATGAAAGCAGATTTAGGAGGGGTTTTTTTAAAAGAGCACTTAGCCACAAATTGCACTTTTTCACTTGATAGCACAGCTGCTCTGAAACTTGAATAATTACAAGCACCAGCAAAAACTCGAAAAGTTCTACTTTGAGATCCTGCAGGGACATGTTATTTTTCCTTACAGTTATGACAGTGAAACCGACGGTTCTCAGAAGCTGCCAGAGACTGCTTTGTCTCGGTAATAACTGCGAGCTGACCTGTTCCTCCAGAAGAGCAGCTCAGTGTGGGGTGTGGGGTTTTTGCCTTCCAGCAGCGCCTCAGAGGAGTCTTTCATAAGGATGGCGTGGATCTGATGGCTCCACTCAATCACTGCCGACTCCAGGGAGTGGATAATGCTCTCGTCCACCGTTTCCCCCCTGCGATGTTTCACAGGTAAACCACTTCAGAATGTACAATAAGGAAAAATGATGCCTTGACGTGATGCTTTATGTGGCTTACTTTGTGTCTGTCTCCAGGGCAGCTTGCTCCTCTCTCTCCGACCCCGCGGGGTGAGGCAGCAGGGTTTTGCCTTGGACACGGCCTGACACCACAAACACACTGTTCCTGAGGGAATGGACATACTGCCTAATGTCCTGAGACACAACCTGTGGCCACTGAGCATGGTTCGTGCAGCTGGAGAGCAGTGGCGCGATAACCTGGAGGAGACAATATAAGAGTTTTCCATACATCCATCCATTATTGTAACCGCTTACTCCCTAATGGGGTCACGGGGGGAACTGGAGCCTATCCCAGTAGTCAATGGGCGAGAGGCGGGGTACACCCTGGACGGTCCACCAGCAGGGCCACACAGAGACACACTCACTCCTAAGAGCAATTTGGAATGTTCAATCAACCAAACATGCAGGTTGTTGGATGTTGGGAGGAAGCCGGAGAACCCACAGATACAGGGAGAACATGCAGACTCCACCCAGAAAAGTCCTGGTTCCTCCGGGGGCTCGTACCCAGAACTCTCTTGCTGTGAGGTAATGGTGCTAACCACCACACCACCGTGCCGCCCTATAAGAGTTTTCTTTGGTGTAGAAGTTTTAAACAAATAAATTAAGGATCAAATGTAATTATAAAAGCAAGTTAAATCTAACAAATATTGAGCTTGTGACAGTGGAAATAAATTCATCTATATATGCAACTTGTGTAACTGCTTGACATGAACACTATTACCTAATCAGGAGGGCACTTTTTAAAAACACCAACAGTTTTCCAATTAAATGAATGATATGGCAAATTAGACTGTGATTATGGTAGGGTAGTAATTAACCACCCTGCGCAATATAATAGCCCCTGATTACAGGAAATATACTGGTACAGCACAAGAAGGCAATTAAACACATACAGGTTAAAAACGTGCTTCAATCCACCTGTCTCTAGCGTGGTGAGCTAATCCAAAACAGTGAAAACAAGGGGGGTGCTCTCTGAAGACAGGCTGTTTCACACGGGTGCTCTGAACACCCCCATTGAAATTTGGTACTTTCCCTCTGATTAAGCACAGACTGTATGAAATTAACAGGCAAATTGGTCGACCCTACGACTTTACAGCCATAATAGAGCTAGCTAACAATGTGTAAAATGTATTGAATATATTATATGTAATTAGAAGAGTATCCCCAATGCAAAGCTTATATTACAGGATATTGTAGACATGCTCAAGTTCAAATGTGCAGCGCCAGACTGGAGAGCAGCGTACTTAGCAACAAGCTAACCAGAGCCAACAAAACGTCAAAGAGGCGCACAATTATTAATTAATTTAGTTAGTAAATATACGCAATGTTTGAAATAAAGCATTAGTAGCAGATGTTGCCGAGCTACCAATAGAACCTTACATTTTAAAAACCTTACCAAAAATTAAAGTCTTGTTCTCGAAAAGTCGTCCGGGCAGGACTTTCTTCACACAGGACCGTCCGAGAACTGCTGTGTGATTGGTCAGATTTTCTGAGTGGGCGGGTTAAAGCCGCACTATTTTTAAATTCCCGGAAGTGCGATAGCTCTTAAAGTTTAGCAATGTTTTGTGTGAGAAGGTGCAGGATGACAGACGAACATGGCATCAAAGCGACTAGTCGACACCATGAAGTTTGAAAAGCATTTTGTCGAACTACAACAGTGAAGTTTGCCCTGATCATTTTAGTAGTATTGAGCGGATGAACTTGCCGCAAGCATTCCAGTGTTTTCCCCATTTCTTCAATAATCGCAGATCACAACAACAAAAATCCTTCCATTTTCCATCTCAAAAAATGTTCTCCTCATCTTATTTCATCATTTAAAAAAAAAAATCCGTCTCTGTCACTGTCTGCCAAACTGTGTTCTTGTCTTGTCTGTGAAATGTGGACTATCTTCGCGCGTGCGTGGGGAACAGATCATTTTAAATGGGAGCAGAATAGCCGAAATATGAAATATTAGTCCAAACGAAGTTTGTTCTTGCTCTGGCCACCTCAAAAGCAAGAACACAATTGTTTGTTTTTGTTGTTTGTTTTTTATCGTGAGCATCAGGTCATTTTTAGTAATTAGTAGTAGTTTCATTACAGTGATACAATATTGTATAATTACAGTTTGATTAGAGGCTACGCTGAATGATATGATTTTTTCCCCTTATTCATTGTAGAACAACTCTTCAGTAGTAGCAATTACAGAGGTCGTCCATTTGGGGAGTTAATGGGTTAAATTCAATTGTTTTTTTACGGACTGCTTTGTTTTTTATTTAATCATGTGATTTTGAGTAAATGGATATAGCTTCCTTTATCATTAGCGCTCTATATATGGCTTTACTGGCAAAGTGAAAATAATCTTATTGTAAAAACGGAGCCAGGTAACTTTTTAAAAAAATATTTTGCCTTTCCCACTCGGTACTCATGAGTGCGCTTCCAATAGGTTTTGCGCGCCTTTGAAATAGGCTTAAAAACAATATCTTATATTATGTTATATATATATTGCAGAAGTATCTCAAAATAAGACTTTATAAACTTCATCAAAGGGTGTGGGTGTTCCACTGTGTCCACACTGTACCCTGCATGATGGGCTTGCAAACTTTATTTCGAGCGCACGCAAAATTATTTCTAGGGAACGCAAAAGAAAAAAAATACAAAGGGAGGGTGGGGGTGGCGTGGGGGGTCGGTAGTAACACTTTGTGTATGAGGGAATTTGGTGTTGTCATGATAGGCCAGCCCCCTTTTGCTGCTTACCTCCTCAACTAGAGCAGAAAACTGGTCCAGCGGTGCGTGAGACAAATCCCCGTAGACTAAGTTCTCTTTCATGGATTCGGGACTCAGTCTCGTTTTGGCTTTTTTCATAAAGTAGACACCTTTGTTTCTGGAGCAGGTGGCAGAGGCGGAGGGCTCCAGCAGCCCCCCGGCGGTCACGGACACCACCAGGGTCCTGTGGTCAGCTTTGTCCAGGAAATCCTGCAGCACCTGCCTGTAGTCCTGGCTGGACAGGCACTGGTCCCACTTATCCCGCTTCAGCCCGTGACTTCTCAGCACGTACTCGGCTATGAAATCCAGCCTTTTGTCCTCGTCAGCGGGTGATTCCTCCATGGCTGAAGGCCGATCAGTGGTGCGTCCCTCTGAGTTGGAGACGTGATTGTGTCCCGGCCTCCATAGTAACGCAGTGTTTGGCTTGTTGCGTGGAGGGCACGGCCACCCTGGAGCTGACCCTGGATCAGGACATCCTTCCGTTTGCCTCAAATCCTGAATGGCAGCTTTTGTTCTCTGTGTGGCTTTTGATTGACTTTTAGGGGGACAGTTGCATTCTCAGTAGGCCCATGACACAGAATCAGAATGAGAAATACTTTAGTAATCCCAAAATTATTTTTGTTACTAACTCCAGAAAGACAACAGCATTTATATATATATATATATATATATATATATATATATAATTCCACACAAAATATAAATGAATATATACATAAGTAACTATATGTACATATATAGGTATAAAATAAGTGATATTTATAATGGAAATAATTTAGTTTACAGAGGGGGACACATATCACACTTAAGGCATTTATGTGAAAACTGGTCTATTGTAGTAAGAAAAAAGTTTAAAACCCTTGGACAGTATGATCACATATTGAAGGAAACAAATGGATGCTCCGTTTTATATCTAGAAAATCATTTCAACCAGGATGGCATGTAGCATATAAACACTGCAAACACCTGCGTCAAGGTGAACTGCATGAAGCTGAAATAAAGTATGAAGATTTTACTTTCCCCCGTCATAGTTGTGTAAATCTCTTCCTGGACAATGATGGGTTTTGACACCTCAAATAAAAAAACATGTGGACACACATACATCCTATTATGTACATTTGTGAAGCTCACATGTTCAGGTAAAAGAAGCTTTGTTTATGTCTCAATATTTGATTATTTTGAATTGAATTTTTTTCTCAACATGGTCTGAAAAAAGCCAAAAATAAGCAGTTCAACATGTTTTACCACAAATGTTTAGCGAGATATCAATAAAAGTAATTTATTCAAACTTATATGAGCTCATTAGCTAAAGCTATAATCCATTGCTTTTATAGAAATGATCAGACAGAATCGATCTTATCGAAAGTAATTTTGTAACACTTTGGCATGACATTGCTAAAAATGTTTCTCAAATAAATCCCTGGTCTCATCCGAGCCCAGTCAGAGTTGGAATTAAAGACTAATGTTCAACATCAGAATACAGAATTTAAGGTGGAAAATCAGAGGATCAGTTTGAAAACTTAAGGCTGTTTTCTAAGATTACATTTTCTCTTAGATCAGATTTGTAACTTGCAGAGGACAAAAGGGAACCTACTATAATAGTGGCTAGATCATCTCATCTTAAATTCTGTATTAAACTGCACTTCAGTTTTAGCTTGTGTTAAAGTTACTTTTGTTTTATTTACCTTTTATTTGGAACTTTGTTGAACCTATGATGATTGTTTGCTCAGAAATATGTGATTGCTTCTTCTGCCCACAAGATGGCAACACTATCCTTAATAAATGTGAGAGTCATGCTCTAAGTAGCCATTGACAAAGTCTCCAAATTTGGTAGCTTACATACTTAAACCTGAAACCATTAGAGTTGGAAAAACCTGTCACTGAACAGGTCTGGGGTTATAGCTGAGGATTAAGAGACTCCAGTTAACTGTAGATGTTGAAGCTCAATTGTAAAACATGTTCTAGAGAACTTTCAATGTTTCTGAGAAGCAGTCTTCCTGTGTATTTCCCTTTTCCTCTGTAAGAATCAAACAACAAAGCATCATACAGGAATTTGTGGCAGAAAACTGGAAGAGTGTGTGTTTCCTTTGCCGGGAGTATTGTGATCTGAAATATGGGACAGGATTCTGATAAAACACGACATCAAACGCGCGCTTTGTTGTCTTTTTTCTCTTGCAGACGTCCACTTTATGGTGGGCCACCTTCGAAGATAGTGAGTGCACGGATGAATATTTATATGTATGACTGGACTAGAAGGTGTGGGTCACTCAGATAGTCCAGAAGCAGCAACTAAGGAGGCTTATTTCCCTGAAATGACTTTGAAGATTAAGATGACAGAGGAAAGAGAACCATGGCAGCCAGACTTTCCATTTCAGAATCAAAACAGCTGCCTGGTCACTGATATCACAGAGCTGCTGGATGCCTCCAGCGTCCAGCTGGGTGGCTGGACACTGAAATACATAAACCAGTAATGTTTGCTTCCCAACTATCTTTTGATCGGCTTGGGAATGAAGCCAGACTGCACAGTGGCACAAGAGGACACCAAAAGAATAACTTCTCATATGAAGTTGTGCAGGTATATATATATATAAGTGTGTATATATATGTATATTTAATTATAATCCTGTCCAGAAATGTGCAGCCCTGATCTAAAAATAGGAGACTCTGTCCTGACCAGAAGTGTTTTTTGACTCTTTATAAAGTTGCTTTTAATCATGATTTAAAAAAAAAATGCAATTATGATGTATGTTTTACCCCACTTTATGATTCCACCTATTCCTGAACTTTTTGTGTTGTGGTCTCATCCCTCCTGATTAAAAAAAAAGCAAACATTCTTTGTTGTTTCTTTTTAATGTTTCTCCTCAGTTGGATTCTGAGTTTTTCTCTGTAAATCTGTGGTCCATTAGCCCCCCTTGCAGTTTGCAGTTAAATCTGGTGTTTCTTTGCCACCTAAATCCCTTGATCCTATGTTGCCATTCAAAGAATTATACGAGTTGGGTCTCTGTGATAAGATATATAGACTTTGGAGAACGTTTTTATAGAGGGAAGGAGGTGAGGTATCAATCATACAAAATGGGTATTTTAGGAAGGTTTGCGAAATTGAATGACTTTGTTTCCACTTTTGTAGTTACCTTGTAACTAAACAAAAGTGTACAATTTGTTTAATTTCTCATTACACAAATTGTACTATTTGTTCTCAAGCTTCCACAGTTAATCAGTGAGTTCATTCAAAAATTACCAGCAGATGTCCGTAAAGTTCTTAGCTTTTTCTGTTAAAACCTGAGCTCACAACCACACAGTACACAGATCAATTTAGAAAATATAAAAATGTAGTGTTTATGACTTTAAAACAGCCTTTTTTTTATTTGGTCTAGTTCAAGACAGCTAATCTATATAGGGCAGATAGAGTTACCTTGCGTTTGGGTGACACTTGTGTGTCTATTTTAGCCAAAAGATTTGACATAAATGTAGATTTAATCACAAAACCTCAGTAGTACATCACACAGACACAAAATATTTGTAACTGTTGGTAACATTCTCCTTTCTTGTGTTGGCATCAGTTCATTGTGTAAACTTTACCCAGTTTCCAATTCACGAAAAACCTTGTAAACAGGTACAGTATAAAAAAGGTATTTATTTACTTGTTAAAATTCTTCTTCTTTCATCATCTACAATTTGCTGGTCCCTCTCCCTCTCTGTATTTTATTGCTTTCAGATGTGTATCAGCATCAGTGCAAGAGAAAGAAGTTGGATTAAACTCAGGAGAAATAACTGTGTTGGTATTTATCCTAATCTTTCCATTGAAGCATCCTCATTTCTCCGAAATAAAGCTGAACTGAGGTCATGGGCTGGAATGTGCCCAAGTATTAGAATGGAAAACATGTTCAAAATTGTGAGTCACTTATGTATTTCTATGCACGTTAGCTTATTCAACCTACATCAACAATAAGGGACTTCTTATAATTTAACGTTCTTTATGACTTGTTCTTGTTCTGTGTACAGGATGTCTAAGTCACACACTAGGTTTGCACCTACAGGCAAACCTTGTTACCTGTTTTTGTTGTCTAACACAACAATTACAACAAATTTGTTGTCTAACGTCTGACACAGAGCATTTTCATAGTCCAGCCTGATTCACAGACATGAGAGCCTGTGTGCCCTACATTATCAGGGTATTAAACACCTCATCATTGGTATGCTTTGTTTTGGGTTCCTAATTAAATCCATGACAGAATTAGTAAAAAAAAATTTTTTTATCAAGGCTGCTTCACAAGTATTGTTCAAACACTGTGAAAAAATGTTAATCATTTCCCTAATTTAGGGCAAATTCAGTGTCATGTGATTTAATGGATATTCAACATGCAGTTATTTGGTTTGGATTTGAAAAATATAGTTTATATGCACCAGTCAGTTATATAAGACCAGAATAAACTCTTATAGTGTTATCTACCATGTCATGACTTTTGAGTTATTTTGGGGATTCTTTTTGGTTAGTGTTGTAAAGTGTGCAAGAATACCAATACTCAAACATATTTTGAGGTTAAATCCTTAAGCTAAAAGGCAATAGTTCTTGTTAATATCTGTAAATAACTGCAGCTTCTCTTGAAATATTTCAAAGGATGGAAAGCGATCCAAGCAGCAGGACAGGAATTTTTAACCAATAACGTCCATTGGAAACATCCATGGGAAGTTCAAACCAAATTACTTCAAGATAAATTCATGCTAACCCATAACTGATTTATATTTCCCAGGGTTATCATACTAACAATAAAATCACAGAGTAAGACGTCGTGTTTTGTGGTTAAAAGGGATTATTCCCCTTGTAGCATCATTTTCCTGTCCAAAAAGGAAATTTGGGAAAGTTTGAATCGCTTTAACATTTATGTTCAAAACCTACTGGCTGGTCTTTAACATCAGACATTACAATGTCCACTGGGTCATTATCTTAAGCATAGCTTGACTGTGACTAATGTGTGTACTAATATATCTAGGTCTTGAAACATAAAACTGATGGAGTGGAATAATCAGCCAAAAAGATGTTATACACTGGAACACCACTCTATTCAGAATTAAGAAGCAACAGGCAAAGTATATGTCTGTTATGATGTGTAAAGTGCATTATTAACACTGTAAGGAACCACAGGAGGGGGCTACTGTATAACACACCTCCAGCTGCCTTTAACACACACACATCCATGCAAAACCTCACACATGCCTGCGAGATAAACAGAAGTTTAATTCTTGTGTGCTTCCTGACAATGACCTCATGGATTGCATACGGTGGTGACGTGCCAAACAAAAGTAGTTCTCTCAGGGATGATTGTGTGCCTATTTGATTTCAA